TCGCAGCAATTTATTCCTGTGCGCATGGGGTTTAACGTACATCTCGAACATGATCGAGCGTTCAGTTTCTTTATGTCCACTCATCACATGTGTGTACGGTAGAATTGAACTGAATCTTTTGAAAAACTAAACTGAATTGTTTTAAATAGTTCGGTTCAAAAATGATTCGGTTCTTGAATTAATTTTAAAAATCAGTTCGGTTCATGAACTTTTTTAAAAAAACTAGTTATTTTAAGTGCAGTTTAGTTCAATTTACTGTTCGATTCGATTTTTTGATTGGTTTGCACATCCCTACCTCTTAATGTGGGGCTAAAAGCAAAATAGATAAATACATAAAGTTATGTCTTGACTAATAACCAATTTTTGATCTATTGATTGTAAGAAATTGCAAAATATGATTGTGATAAGTTATTCTACCTATCATTTATTCTGCATATCTTTACCTACCACTCTAATTAGATCAGAATCTTAATTAAAATTTATATTTCTCTCTCCTCTTTAGATTCTAATCTAATGGTGTTGGAGAGTGATAAGCAAAGGTAGGTAGAATAACCTATCCCAATATGATGTGTTAGGTTATTCCACCTACTTTATTGGGTAATTTTCTTAATTTTATCCAATCAATCCAATTGATTGGTTTCCCCAATTTCAGTCAATTAATTTAATTAATTGGTTTTTTTTTTAATTTTGGTCAATCAATCCAATTGATTTGTTTTTCTAATTTCAGCCAATTAATTTAATTAATTGATTTTCTTTAATTTTGGTCAATCAATCCAATTGATTTATTTCCCCAATTTCAGCCAATTAATTAGTTTCCTTAATTTTGGTCAATCAATCCAATTGATTTGTTCCCCCAATTTCAGCCAATTAATTTAATTAATTAGTTTTCTTAATTTTGGTCAATCAATCCAATTGATTTGTTTCCAATCAATCTAATTGATTGGTTTCCTTTATTTTCTCCATCTTCAATAAATCTAATTTAATGACTATATTTAAATTCCAATTTCAAATTTGAAATTCAAAATTAGAATTTAAATTAATTTTATTTAAATTCAAAATTCAAATTCGAAATTCAAAATTAGAATTCAAATTAATTTTATTAATTTAACATTTAAATTAATTAGGTTACATCATGGATCAAGTCCAACTTGACCCATGATGTCACCTACTCTCTCTTGGCCCAATATGTGAGCTTTTCCAACTTAGGCCCATTATGCCTTATTGGGCCCAAAACACATATGCTAGAATTCAAGACAATTTAAGGTGTTTGTGTGCGACCCATCAGGTCCAACATAGCCACTAACATAAATGGGCTTGGGCCCATTAGGCCCAATCCATCTAATGACAACACAGAGCACTAGTAATGCTTTGTGGTCCCATAGCTAGTTGAGTTCATCGAATGATCAACCTGTTATACCTATTTGGTTACCGTGTGAATTGTCCTTTCGTCTCGGTTATCCATCTCATTGACCTAGGTCAAGGAAAACGTATCAACCCCTGCGGTCTAGGGTTAGCTTTTGCCGAAACAGGAAATCTTCATTTACGGACTCTAAAGAGCGGGTCATCTCATGACTCCTTTACTATGCATAGATTCCCGAGTCCCGTAAATGTCATCTTGGTTTCACCGATCTACGGATAACCTAATCTCTCACAGAGATTGACAAATTCCTTTAGCTTATCACACCAGCCCTAAGTCCTTAGGGCATGCCCAAGAGTATACCTACGAGTTTTCATTTTTCAGGCAGACAAGATATACAATCAAAGCAAGCCTTCCAGAGCACAGGTCTATACAACAACGTCAGGTTTAAGGAAAGACATACCCAAATAATAAGAGGCATTACCTATTGATACTATCTGTGAGATTTTCTTGTAGTGTCTCTTTGTGGGTCAGTTCAGTGTGAGCTATTCTCCAATAGGTCCACCCACGAGTCAACTAAGACATCTCATGTCTGTAGCTCATGAGGACTCTACCTTGCATCTCCATGCAAGTAGCTGAGTCGTGCTAGTCTTACCCGAGATCACCAATGCCCATTATCAGTACCTCTAGACTAGGAACATATTTCTGGCAATGGACGTGTGGTGTCATTGAGCCCTCATGATGGTGATCCCTATCACAAATCCTCAATGTGACACCCATTCCATTTCAAGGGCTTTATCCAGTTACTCATATTCAATATTTGACTCATGCAATATGAAACAAGATAAATAATGCTTTTAATTATAAAATATATTCATAACAAATAAAGAAGTACATGGGTCCATCTGACTCTCATATTGTCTCTAGGACATCTATGTACTAACAAGTTATGGAGTGACTGTTTTTCAACTTACACGTGAATGCAAAGGGGACCTAGCCAAACTTATTAACCCTAGGGGCCTATGGGTTAGTGTAAAGAACTTTGGGATACACCACCCCAAAAGCTAGCTCAAAGGATGGGAGTGCCCAAGGCCTTATAAACTCCACATTAGTTGTACATACAACTAATGTGGGACTATATATCTCAACACGCCCCCTCACACAAGAGCCCATTGGGCTTGGAGAGTGGACAATGCAACAGGCCCAACCTACCTGTGCTAAGAAACGCCACAAGAGAAAGTGGGGGGCGGCGAGGCTCTGATACCATGTAAAGAACTTTGGGATACACCACCCCAAAAGCTAGCTCAAAGGGTGGGAGTGCCCAAGGCCTTATAAACTCCACATTAGTTGTACATACAACTAATGTGGGACTATATATCTCAACAGTTAGGCCTACACATTACTCATACTAATCAATTTAAAGATACCCAAACCCAAACCAAATGATCACTTAATTAAATGAGTTTTATACTGCACCCTTATATGTATCATGACTTAACCCATTTTTATCAAAACAAGAAAAACTATAATTGATTGATGCCCACAATGATTATAAAAATATCTATCATTCTCCAACTTGGGTAAAATCAATTGTAAAATTTTAATTTAAAAAAAAAAGAAAACAAGTTATTTGAAAATAACTCTCGGGCTAAGGACTAATTTTTATAATGTGGCCACATTTTAAGAAAACACATGATCCAAGGTGCGATATATGAATACGACTCCATCCAACTAAAATAAAATAACAATGAATCATGCAGTGATTATATCCTTTACCGGTATAAGCCCTTCCATGGTCACAAATGTTATTTGACTCTGTTGACTAGTCATTAGTGTGGAGTGTAGCAAGAAAATAACATGCCAATGTGATTCAACAACAGCTAAACTGTTATTTTCTCTGTCAGTGCTCAAATTTCTCTCAAATGCCTTAAAGGCAAAGAAATTTCATGGTTTGTCAAAAAACCATCATATAATCAAATGTGGTATTGACCATCATGGGCCTTGTAGTCCTAACAACACCATTATGTCTCAAACTCTCATATAATGTCAACCACATACATGATAATTCCAAGGACAATATGTTCCAAAATCATACATCAAACTCCAATATAATGTCAACCACAGGATTGGTGGTTCCAATGACACTAAGTTCCGAAATCTCATTATCATACCTCAAACTCCAATATAATGTCAACCACAGGCAAGGTGATACTAATGAAATTGAGTTCCAAAACTTAGCAATTGATAAACATAAGCACATTTGTGCAGTATATACAATAACAAAACTCAATTGCTCAAACAAACATCATGATAAGCTAATAACAAGGAACTAAAACTCCCACTAACCAAGAACATCAAAGCAACTCACAATGCCCATATTCATCACACATGCATTTTAAATACCATGTGCCTAAGTCCTTTAGTTAAAGAGTCAGTCGATATACTTAACAACTAAGTCATCCACAAAAAGTATATAAACAAATAAAAATTCATATCCAATTAATAACCTGAGATTTTAATATTATTTTTCCATCACAGAAGAAAATGCACACTTATTACAAAAAAAAAGAAAAAGAAAATGCACACTAGCCAAACAGGACATAAAGTTCAATATCCTTCTTAAGGAGGCAACGTAGCAAGTTCATTTCAAAATGAACTCATATCTTGACGTGAAAAACTAAGCAAATAGCTTTCACTGACTCAACAATAACTTCAATTTAACACAAAGTCAGTTTTATCTCCCACTAAAAACAATGTTCAAGTTCTAACCTTTCAAGCAACGCCCTATCACATTAAAATTCATAAGGAAAAAATCTAGTTCTCATCTCCATTCATTATAATTCAATTCAGTCCACATTTCCATGTTAGCATTGTTTTCGTATACTTCAAAATAATGTTTATCACATATAATGCAACAATATTAGTTATAGATAGTTAAGCAATTTCAACAAAGTAATTAGTATATTATAAACTCTCCATTGGGTAGAGCATATAACACAATTATTTCAGATTATTTAAAATTTTATGTCCATATAAGTTTCAAAAATTAATGCATACAATAACCTCCTTTGGGCAAGTGATTTTAAAATATAATTTTTATCAATAAGGAACTCTGACAATTCAAAAATAATATTATGAGTAAATATACCCAAATAATATGAAAAACCTTATAACATGTGTTTCTAAAATTCATAGTGCATTACGGTATTCCTTACAAGATTCTCTGCTAGGGTTCAACCGTCATGAACTCATCGGAAGAGAAATTGCCTTCGGTGGAGGAAATTGATAACCTCCAACGCTCAACCAGGAAGAAAAAGCGACAGGAAAGCATATTTAGTCACGATCAGCAGATGAAGTCGAGAGATGATGAGTGGATGCATGACAAAGTGTCTTATAAAGAGATGATAATAAGGCATAACGGAGAGTGGCCCCCTATTGGGGAAGAGAAATCGATGGAGGAAGATGAGGGACAAGCAGATGAAGGGATGGAAGCCGTCCAACCTGCACCAGAGGTCACATGCGAAGTTGGTGTGGACGGAAGGACCAACTTCTTACTTTCAAGCGCGTTTAAAAAGAAGGCTTGGCGTCCATGGCATCAAGCGATTTATGTTAAATTGTTGGGGAAAGGCTATCCCTAGCATTTATGAAGAAATGGCTGGAGAATATGTGGGCGCGTGAAGGGCAGCTGATGATCACAGATGTGGAAAATGGCTTTTACTTGGTGCGTTTTTCAGAGAAAAAAGACTTGGATCATGCTTTGACCGCTGGCCCGTGGGTGATTTTGGATCACTATTTGGTGATTCGAGCTTGGGAACCTGACTTTCAACCGTTTCAAGCGGCAATTAATAGAGTCATGGCTTGGGTAAAACTCCATCAACTTTCTATTGAATATGTAAATACTGAGGTTGTGAAGAGTATTGGGAATTGGATTGGTCGGTTTGTCAAACTTGATGCTGCCACTACTTCTCTTGCTAGGGGTAGGTTTGCACGGATTTGTGTGGAATTGGATTTAAGCAAACCCCTACAGGCTGATTATAAATTAGAAGGTAGATTGAAGAAGATTGAATATGAAGGATTACACGTGTGCTATACTTGTGGCCAGTATGGTCATAGAGCTGAAAAATGTTCTATATCTACAGTTGGACCTGGCAGCGATGGGAAGGAAGAAGAAATGGGGAATGCTGAGTTAGGGAATGTTGAGGGCAGGGATGAAAGTCATAATTAGAATTTGGAGGGTGGTTCTTTTGGCCCTTGGATGTTAGTTAATAAACAACAGGGTGCTAGAAAGGTTTCCAATTCTAAGGTGGCAGAGAATAAAGTTAAGGATAGAACTCTTCAAAATAGGAGACGTGAAAAGGGAGCAAGTTTCAATGTTTTGAGGAAAGTGGCTGATGAGAATGATAATTTGGAGAATGTGGAGTCTGTGAAGGAGACCCAAGTGGATTCAGAGGAAAGACAGGTTGAAAGGAACCCAGGAAGAGAAAATAATAATTTAAAGGAGAAACCCACTCTTATTGAAACTTCTAAAGCTTATCAATTAGTGTGGAATAATATTCAGGCCACAGAAGCTTACAATAAAGAGGAAACAATAGATAATGGAGCAATGTTAGCTACAAGGGTTAAAGACAAGAAAGTGGAAGCTTTTCTAGAAAATTGGAAACAACATGATGATTCAATTTCTGATCAGTCTGGGCAACTACAACAAATTTCGAAGGAGCTGCCTTCAATCCAAAGGCATGACCTGGAAGTTGATTCTAGTATGCTTCATTTAAAGGATCACCAAATGTTGGAGACAGAAGGTGATCCTGTACCAAAACCTCCAGACCAAGGATGTAGGGAGGAAATGAATCAGGGTCGAAGCAAAGGGAGTAAGAGTAATTCTATTGGTGGAACTAGTGAGCCAAATCAGTCTACTGAAGGAAATAAAGGTATGGATATTGATTTGTCTGGAAATGGGTCCAGGAACATTCTGTCACAGGTTCAAGATCAACCTGTTATATCCCCCATGTTGTCTTGATGTCCATTCTTATATGGAATTGTAGGGGTGCGGCTAACCCCAAAATTGGTCGAACTCTGAAAATGTTTGTGGAAAAAAATGATGTCAGTATTGTAATTCTGGTAGAGACTCGATCTCAGAGTGATAAAAGTAGACCTATTATGAAGAAGTTGAATTTTGATAAGGCTATCTTTGAAGAAGCAAATGGGTTTTCTGGTGGTTTGTGGGTTATTTGGGATTCAAAGAGAGCGAAGGTGCATCCTATCTCTCAAACTACTCAACTCATTCATATGAAGATTGAGTATAACCAATATGAGAGTTTCCTTTGTACAACTGTATATGCTAGTCCCAGGGAGGAGAATCGGCAGGTTATGTGGAATGTTGTGAAGAATCTTAGTCAGGGTTTATTGGTTCCTTGGATTATAGCTGGGGATTTTAATGACATTAAATCTACCAGTGAAAAAAGAGGAGGTTCTAGAATAGATGTTGCCAAATGTCAGAGATTTGCTGTTTTCCTTGAAGAATGTCATGTGGAGGATGTCAAATCTTCAGGTCCTAATTTTACTTGGCAGGGACCAAAGTGGAATCATTTAGATAGAGTTTTTAAAAAGATGGATAGAGCTTGTGCCAATATTTATTGGAGATTAAAATATGAAAATGCTGAAGTCAAAATCCTTCCTCGATTAAATTCTGACCATAATCCTCTTCTTATCAAGCTAAATGCGATTAAAAAGAATTGGCAAGAGAGGCCTTTCAGGTTTTTAGCTGCTTGGTTGGACCATCCAAAGTTCCAGGATTTCATGGAAGATAGTTGGAATTCTTCGAAGGAGATAAATCTCATGCTTGCAGAGTTAACTCCTCATCTCCGTTACTGGAACAAACATGTTTTTGGTGATATTCATAGGAAGAAAGAAAATCTTTCTAGGAAGCTTGCTGATATTCAAAAGCATAGGACTCATTCGGATTCTCACTTTCTTCAGGAATTGGAAAAACAGGTTCAGATAGATTTAGACCAAACATTAGATTATGAAGAAATGTTATGGTTTCAAAAATCTAGACATAGTTGGATAGTGGATGGTGATAAAAATACAAGATTTTATCATTCAAAGGATGTTATCTGGAAGAGTATTAATAAAGTGTCAAGGCTTCAAAGTGAATCTCAGGTTTGGATTGAGGATCCAGTGGAACTTGAAGATCATGTTTGCAGGTTTTTTAAGAATTTGTTCCAAGAAGAGAATCAGAACTGAAGGTGGTTTTCATCTCCTAATTGTTGACCTACTATATCCATGAATGAAAAGAATGATATGACCAAAGCTCCAGGATTTCAAGAGGTTGCTAAATTGCTGTTTAGTATTGGTGCTTATAAGGCTCCAAGTGCTGATGGTTATCCTGTTGTTTTCTTCCAAAGGCAATGGAATTCAATCTGCCAGCAAGTGTACCAGGCAGTTAGTAATATATGGATCAATCCTGAGTTAGTTTCTGATTTTAATTCTACTCTCCTAGTCTTAATCCCTAAAGTTAAGAGGCCTAAATCTGTTTCTCAATTTCGGCCTATATCATTATACTCTGTTTTGTATAAATTGGTTTCTAAATCTTTGGTTCATCGGCTGAAACCAATTATGGAAAAAATCATATCTCCTTGGCAAGCAAGCTTTGTTCCTCAAAGACAAATTCAGGACAATATTATTATTGTTCAAGAAATGATCCATTCAATGCACAAAATGAAGGGAAGGAAAGCTTTCATGGCTGTTAAAATTGATCTAGTTAAAGCTTATGACAGCCTAAGTTGGGATTTTCTGAAGCATTCTATGGAAGAAGTTGATTTTCCTAGTCAGTTCATTAATATGGTTATGTGCTCTGTGAAATCTTCCAAGTTTAATGTTGTTTGGAATGGTGGTAAAACTGGTGATTTTACTCCCACTAGAGGAATCCGTCAAGGCGATCCCCTTTCTCCATATTTGTTTGTTATTGCTATGGAGAAATTGTCCCATATTATATCAACGGCAATCAATGGAGGTCACTGGAAACCCATGCGTGTTGGTAAAGCAGGCCCTCATATTTCTCACTTAGCGTTTGCTGATGACCTCATGGTCTTCATGGAAGCTTCGGTGGATCAGTTGAATGTGCTGCTGAAGTGTCTGAGCATTTTTGAAGAAGCTTCGGGTCTCAAGCTCAGTGTGGAGAAAACTTCCATTTTCTTCTCAAAAAATATTCATGAGAATCTGATTAATGATATTGTGCATCTGAGTGGTTTCAAAAGAGTTAATAATGTTGGTCGATACCTTGGTTCTATGATGCAACATGGTACAGTGAAAAAGGATCTTTATGCTGGTATTATAGAGAAGGTAAGATCAATACTTAACAACTGGAATCAATTTTGCTTATCCCAAGCGGGTAGAATTACCTTGGCCAATTATGTTATGTCAGCTATGCCTTATTTTCAAATGCAAAGCACTAAAATCCCTTCTGCTGTCTGTAAAGATATTAAAAGAATTCAACGGGATTTCATTTGGGGTGACCATGATGGAATTCGTAGGAATCATTTAATAAGTTGGAAGACTATTACCTTGCCTAAGAATGCTGGAGGTCTGGGGTTTAAGAAGATGGAATTGATGAATGATGCGTTTATGGCTAAGAGGGCTTGGGAAATTTTCAATGATAAAGGCCAGCTTTGGATTCAAGTTCTCAAAGCCAAATATGCAGTAGATAATAGAGGTTCTCTTATTTTTGTGGAGAAGAGTGGGTATTCAATTTTATGGAGGAATGTTTGCAAAATTTGGCGTTCTCTGGAAGAGTTTCTTGGCTGGAGTTTGGGTGATGGTAAGGATATTAAATTTTGGACAAATAATTGGATCGATGGTGCTAGCTTACTTAAGGATATGACTCTTCCTGATGCTCAGGTTATTGATCTAAATAAGAAGGTGGATGATATGACTTCGGTTGATGGTAGCTGGAACTGGATGGCTTTGAAGAATTGGCTTAGTCCCAATGCTATCAGTATCTTGCAGAATATTTTACCCCCTTGTGTTGATGATGGTCCAGATAGGAAACATTGGAAGTTTATTAATTCTCCTTCGGTTTCGATCAGAAGTTTATATGATTTCCTTATGAACAGATGAGCGAATATGGATGGAAGGCAAGAGTTATGGTCAGCTTTATGGAAATGGAATGGCCCTCAGAAGGTGAAGATTTTAATGTGGAAAATTTTGCATGGTAGATTATTAACAATGGATACTATTGCTCATTGGAGAGAGTCTTCGGATTTGTGTCCAGTTTGTAAGGCTGCTAGTGACTCAATTCTACACTCTGAGAGATTGTCATGAGGTTAAATTGATTTGGAACAATCTGGTTCCTTCCTATTTGGCCACTCGGTTTTTTAAGGATAATTTTGAGGAGTGGATTAAGTCTAATTTAATAGGCTGGATTAAGTTGAATGGTCCCACCAACTGGTTGTCTGTCTTTTTTATTTCTTGCTGGAAACACTGGCAGTGGCATAATGAACTCTGTCATAGAATTTCCATTCTTAGCTGGATTTTTAGGGAATCCACTATTCGTACTGTGGCTAAGGAGAATGATGTTGCTTTTAACAGTTTGAATAACCAGAGGCTGGGTATAAGAAGTACTATGACTACTGTTTTCTGGAGTTTCCTTGAGGATGGCTACATTAAAATTAATACTGACGGAGCCTCCCATGGTAATCCAGGTCCTGCTGCTTGTGGTGGTGTTTTGCGAGATGCGAGTGGTAGATGGCTAAATGGCTTTGCTTATAAGTTAGGTAAATGTTCTTCTTATAAAGCGGAGCTTTGAGGAATCCTTTGTGGTCTAGAATTGGCTTGGAAGGAAGGATTTCGTAATATTGAATTGGAAAGTGATTCTTTTAGTGCAATCACTTTGCTATCCAGCTCTGGTATAGCAGTCCGTGAGAGTCAACTCGTCTCCCGCACACGGACTTGGATCAAAAAAGATTGGAACATTAAGTTGCGTCATATTTGCAGAGAAGGCAACATGTGTGCGGACTGGTTTGCCAATTTCATTCTAGACAAAGGGGAAGATGTAGATGCTTTGCTGTTTCGTGTGCCTCCAAGTGACATTTCTTTTTTGCTTTTAGCTGATGTTTCTTCTGTTGGTAGGCCTCGTGCCTCTTTAGTTTCTTAATTTTTTTTCTGGGCTTAGGCCCTTTTATGTACCAAAAATAAAATAAAAAAATTCATAGTGCATTTATTAAACTACACTTTATGCCATAAATTTCAATCCCTAATATCAACAATTATATACCTTAGCTCACTAGTCAAACTTAATTAAAATTGAAAAGAACCACTTCAACCCAAAACCTTAAGGTGTTGGGTAAGAGCCTTTTTAATGATTTATATTATTCTCTAACATGCCCCATCACGGAAGAGCCTTTTGGGGTTGAAGTGTGTATATTGCATAGGCCCAATTTTTGGTTTACCTTGTGCTTATTTATTTCCACAAGTGGGGGTAGTGACTAGTGAGGATCGAACTCGTGATCTTGTGGTCACTGAAGCTCTGATACCATGTAAAAAACCACTTCAACCCAAAACCTTAAAGTATTGTGTAAGGGGATTTTTAATTGTTTATATTATTTTCTAACAGAAATGATATAGATATCTATACTAAATTAGGGAGGGTAAGTAGTAACATTATAATCACCAAAGTTTATAATAATTTTCCATTAATTTAAATTTGAGAAAAATAAGTTAAAAATGAATCAAATTTTAATATTATAAGAGATTTTCATCCAAAAAATATTATACTCAAAAATTGATAGATTTATTATCAGTAAGCACCAATGCCTACATAAACCAATAAATAATAAGAGATAACAAAATCAATTATAATCCCTTATTAAAATTTGACATCTTAAATAGTAATATGAAAGAAAGGAAATTTTTTTATAAATTTTCAAATAAACATGTCAAGATATTATAGCCCAATAGAGTAACAAAACTAAGAAATCACAAATCCAATAGGTTTGTTTTAAATTTAACTCAAAATACATGCACAATCTCATGCTTTATGACAACGTCAAGTGAGGATTAATTCATCAAATCACATTAACACATGGAGGCGTTTGGTTGAGGAGAAATTTTTTGAATACTAGAGAAATGTAATAGATAGGGAAATGATTGAAAAGTGAGATAAAGTGAGATAGGTAGGAAAATGTAAAAAAAAGTTGTTTGGTGGGGAAAAACTTTACTGGAGAAATTAGGTAACTTTTATGAAATCTATGTTTGGTTGGAGGTAAAATATAGATGGGAAAACAAGTTGGTATTACGAAAATAACCCTGATATCATTGATTGTTAAAACTACTATGACTTTATTTAACTCAGACGTGTTAAAGACATATAATGCAACAAGGGATTCACAGTACTGTTAAAACTTCGGTCATGAGAAATAACAGGTGAGCATTTCCATGTAATTTCCAAACTAAATTTGGTTGTTCCTCACAACAAGGCAACATGAGGTCATTTGTTATCAAAATTAGATAATTACAGAAAGCATTATTTCATCTCATCCACAAACTCGTTGGTGGAAAAATATAGTCATGTAAAGATACACAAACTCATGTAGATGATTACAATGTATCAAATACATATACCATACACAAACATTGATAAGCAGAGGGGGAATTCTAATTTATGTTACTTAGGTGAATATTTTAAATAGTGAAACAAAGAGGCATATGCTAAGGTCTAGGGGCACTTTGGCTAGTTGCCATGAGTCATCATGTCAGTGCAAGATCTCCCACACATTTCTCTGTTGCCATAAGTGTTCCTGGAGGAACACACTTGCACCTCGCTATTTCCATGTCTCACTTCAAAATGGCCTTGAGTGCCTACTATACGTCACCTTACACCTTCCTCCATAGTAAGCAAATTCATAAAATAACAGATAGCATCTAGTGTATGGTATAGAGTGTAGCATCTAGTGTTGTGACTGTCTTTCACATTGAGTAACAATACATTACCAAATCAAATAACAGATAGACACTGTTTTATGTTGATAACCATTTAACTCAAATCCAATATGAAGTTGTATTAACATTTCAGTTCAGACAGTAAATGGAATTGTGAACATAACCTGGTTAACATCTCACATTTATATTAAATAACAGAGTTACAAGTGAACAAAGCAAAAGGACTAAAAAAACTATGACAATGAAACCACACTGGCTTCATTAAGCAAAGGTCCATATACAATAGGATTTACATCTGCCTTCAAATCTGAAGTTTAAAACCTACACCCTACATCTTTGACAGTAGCTTGAATGGTTCATGGTGAGGGCCTTTGGAATTTAACTGGGATGATATGGATTAGCAATTTTTCACATCATCATGAGGCATACATCATCAGCTGATGCAGTACAGTCAATGGCCATAATACTGAATATATCACTCCAATTTTCTTCTCCACAACATTAGTTTTGAACCGTTGTAGCATGACAAAAAGAACATGCTGCAACAAGTAGTTGAAGCAGTGTCAAAAACAATTACACGGAGCATTAGACAATGCACACAATGAGAACCATGCTGACAGAATAAATATCATTGACTGAAACTCCAATGCATAAAAGAAATACATCATCAATGCTAGTACTTATGACTTACACATGGAGATGCAGAACAAAATTAACAACTCCCCCAAGTCTGAATCAATATTTGACCGAATCTGTCTTGCAATTATAGGACAAATTAAATCAGTTAACAAAAAAAAATTATCGTAAACGACAGGGCAAATCAGCGAAGCGTACAAATTAGTAAATTAAAAATCAAGCTATATGATCAAAATGATTCATCAAGTTAGTTCACACTACTATATGCAAGCAATAAACCTCATTGAGAATAACCATTTTGAACAGCTAAACTGAGCAGGGAAAATGGGATATATAACCATTTTGAACAGCTAAACTGAGCAGGGAAAATGGGATATATAAGATACCTTTATTGCAGCTGTTAGAGCATGACCTATATGGAGAGCACCAGTCACATTTGGTAGAGGCAAAACCTAAAATACAGCACAATCAAATTCTCAATAGACATAAAAAGGAAGCAAGAAAACATAAAGTTTTATATCATTTGAATTTGCACAGCCACTTTGCACATTCCTCAGAAGCAGTGCAAACATGCATATAGCCTAAATCTTTTCAAGATTTTAAGCAAGAACAAGACACTATATTTCATTCAAATCCAAAAAAGATAACCATTGATCAATAATACACAATTTGGGAATCTATTAGTGCAATTTAATGAGATAACATTCAACACCTAATGTAATGTTATTGAATTTTGAGAAACATCTTAATCTACAAGACAAATCACTTCAAGAAATGGAACAATGGATTTTAATTTTTCATTAGAAAGATCTCCGAAATTGGGAAGGATCACTCCCACTATTCAGCAAATGGTTACTTTGCACTCCATAACGCACACGTAAATCTCTAATTACACCAAATCGTCTAATTGTACACACATAATTGATTTTTACTCTCAGGTAGAAAAATTGGAGCCAAAACAGTTTCACATGGCATCAGAAAACAACATATATATGTTCAACAAGAAACTCACAATAACAAAAGGTCGTTTGGAGTTGCTAGCATCTGCCACAAACAACCTTGATTTCTCCCATCACTCATACCACCTAAAGTTTAGCAAACGTAAAAGATGAGCACTTAACACAATAAAAGTATAATGAGCATAAAGATGGATTTAACACCCACGATTTTTCCACGGCAGTTAGACTGTACTGTTTTGCCATTTGACTAGACATACGTTTCTTATCACCCAATGTAGTCTCGGGATCAATATAATCTTCAGGATTCTCATCCTCTGCGCCGCGCTTCACAGTTTTCTTTTCACTCTTTTTAGAAGCATTGGATGATTGTTGCTGCTAACACCAAATGAAAGAAAGGGGTAAAAATACAAAAAAAAAAATGGTGATTATGAACATTGTTTACAAGATCAAATTGATAAAAATCACACAAGAAAAATAAAAATTTGGCAAAATCAAATGTTGCAATTTCACCTGAGCTTGCTGCTGAAGAAACTTCTCTTTCTTCAATTGTTTCTCTCTTGCCTAGGACAAAGCCATAACATTGTGACATGAGGAAATATAAATTAGAAACCACTGCATATTATAATTCCATTCAAAATGCCTTCAGATAATTTTAATTTTTTTTAAAAAAAACTTGGCAGTAGCCATTCTATAAGACAAATAAACTCCCTCCATTCCCATGAGTACTCGAATTTAAGAAAAGGGTATTCAAAAAGCATAATTTTTTTCTTCATAAATCTCATCAATGCAAATCCCGATTTGCAAAACAATCAGGATCAAAAGAAGAAGAAGATGAAGATGGTAGAAAAACCTTTTCTTCCTTCTTCTTTTTCTTCTCGGGGTCTTCGGGTGTGGGTGGCACTTGCTCTTTCTTGTTGTTGTCAGAGGACTCCATTGGTGAACAGTGAAGATTCTGCTGCGTATGGAGTCCGCGCAGCCAAAGCCAACAACGGCTCTTGAAAAATGGAGACAAAGCAATGTTAGAAGCCACAGCACAAACCTAGGTGTGGTAAGATTCTGGACCATAGTTGTCGGCAAAGACCAAACGCTGAAAATTGTAAGATCAGATGTGAAGGACAAATTTGACGGTGAAGACAAAAACTTTTTTCACCTACATGCAATTTATGAAATTAAAATCTAACTCCATGGATCAAGGGAAAAACACAATCTTTGTGTGTAATTTACACCTAAAAACACAGACGAAATATTAAAGTTTTGTACCGAACCAACGTTACCTCCCACTGTACCCAACCTTCAAGCCTAAACTGATGGTTTGTTTTTCCTTTCAGACCAGAAACAGGAACATGGTGAAGACTTATTTTCACATCCAATTCCTCTTGCAAGTTTTCCTCTTCGTCTGTGAAGTCTATGGTCTTTCGCGCGCTTAATATGTGCAGAAGGTGACAAGATACAACTCTGCCATTTCGTACGGCTGTCTTCAATTTCGCGCACTTATGAGGGTACCATGGTCATCGTTGGCTTCGCAAATTTCAGCAAATTGCTAGATAAGAAGCAATACCACGATGGAAGTGGGATTATTTGCCCTGCTTTTTTTGCCTCAGAATGCCTTGCAAATGGGTTAACTAGGGAAGTGAGATAGATAGCATTTTAAGAAATCGGTTGAACCAAACACGGTACTCCAACAAACCCACTTCCAATTTACCCATCTATCTCAACAAAAACTAGCAACCAAACCCCCCTAACAGCATTCTTGTGCTTGTAATACTTCTCTAGCATCAATATAAAATGTAGTGTGCCCTTACGACAAAAGGAGACAACAAAAGAAACTAAATCATGGAGAAGCCTATGCTTTGGCACATATGAATTTTTAAATCCATCAATGATAGTTTTTTTCAATACAAGGGATAGGTTATTCTACTACCTTCTTTTTCTGCCTACATTTTTTTACCACTCTAAAATACCATTAGATCAGAATCTTAACTAATCTTTATCTTTCTCTCTTCTCTTGATATTCTGATCTAACGGTGTTGGAGAATAGTAGGTAAATGTATGCAAAAAAAAATGATAGGTAGAATAATCTATCCCTTAATCAAGCGTGCAAAAATGTAACGGTGTTGGAGAATAGTAGGTAAATGTATGCAAAAAAATGATAGGTAAAATAATACAAATTATACAGTAAAATATATATATGAGATGAACCAATGATAATCAAGCGTGCAAAATCTCCCACTAGACAAACATTATCTTGGTGATGTTCTTCACATTTTGATGAGAGAAGGAGATTGAATGATTTGTCATTAGGGTTGAGGATAATATTTATAAATATAAATTTTGAACAAAAACCAAACAGAAAAATAATAGATTGCGACAAGTAAAATTCTAATTTTCTAAGTTGAGGAAAAAATTATCAGTTTTTTTAAAATTAAAATAAAATTATATGTTTACCAAAAAAAATTATTTAAAATTATTTAATGTATAACGCTAATATGAAGGGAATGAATATACTTATCGTGAATAAATAAATTAATGAAGATTAATTTTTAATTTTTTTTTTTACAGAATATTAATCTGAGTAGCGAATAGAGAGGGAGAAGAAAAATGATTGGATTAGGAAAACACCACGCAACCCAAAATGCATCCGTTACTAATTAGTTAAATTAAGCAGTATATGAGATAACATACTCATTTTATTTACGGATTTTGCATGTCTGTTGTTGCTACACAATTTTATTGGGTGCAGCAATCGTATTCTAGTGTTGAAATTTTATTTTATTTTGCAATAGAAGAATTAGTCTTCGACTATCGATCGAAGATATCTTGAAAAACCAAAAAAAAAAAAATCCTTTAGTTATACATTAAAAATTATATTAATATTTATTTATTTATTTTAAAATAATAGCTCTTTATATATTTTGTGTCTATCATATAAAAGGGAGATGATTCTCTTATGTTGCCGAACAGAAATCATCTCCTGTTGTTTCACAGAAATTTATTTTTTAATTTTTTTTAATTTTTTTATTAATTAAAATGAAAGGACTCACATAAAATTATTTCAATCACGTAAGAGATGAAACACCCTACCTACGGCATAAGAAAAGTTTTCGCCAATATAAAATAATAAATCTTGACTTGTATTTCTCTTAAATTAATGAAAAAAAAATATAAAGACAAAAACACTTATCGTGTTACAGGAAAAGTCTGTTTTATCCTGTGACTCACAATTCGTTTTCCGTCCCAATTGTTGAAAGCCCAAAAATATAAACCCTTCCAGTTTCCAAAATTGGGGTATGCATCGAAATCTAAATCCCCAGGCAATAAAACCCACCATTTCCCCTCTTCGCTTTTAATTTGTTGTGGGTGTGTGGTGTTTCTATTACTTATATTTCTCTTTTAACTGTCACTGTCTCTGTCTCTGTCTACTATCTTTCTTGTTATTGTTCTTCTTGTTGTTGCTGTTGTTGGTCTATCAGAGTGGTGGGTGGATGATGGCGGCGGCGGCGGCGGCAGCAGGGAGCGTGAATAGTGGGGTGGCACCGTTCCTGAGCAAGACGTATGATATGGTGGATGACTCGTGTACCGATTCGATGGTGTCGTGGGGGAATAACAACAACACCTTCGTTGTTTGGAATGTCACCGAATTCGCCAAACACATCTTGCCTAAGTATTTCAAGCACAATAACTTCTCCAGCTTCGTCAGGCAATTGAATACTTACGTACGTAACACATGACATCTCTTCTTCCATTTCCTCATTCATTTATTTCACTCCTCCCTTCAATTTGGGGGATTTCTTAGGGTTTCATTTCATGATGTGTCATTCTTAGATTTTGTCTTTTTTCCTTAGATTTTTAGAGTATTGCTGTGTGGGTCAATGAATTATGGCTGTTGAAACTGGAAGACGAGATCTGTGCCTTAAAAACCAATTTTTTATTTATAAATTTATGCTTGTTTGATTACTTCATGTGCCTTGGTGACCTTGTCTTTACTTACAGTGACGAATTGAAGGTAGTTTCTTTGAATTGAGTTCATGTCACCTGTATTTTTTCTTATTCTTTAGGTGAGGCAATTAGCTTAATAGAATTTATTCATCATTGAGTTCATTGTCGAGGGATCATCAAGTGTTATAATTAGAAGCCCAAGAGTAAAGAGAATTACCTTCAAGAGGCATTTGTGATTGTAAACAAAGCAAAGGATATAGTTAGCTGTCACCATCATCATGATGCTGCTGCTTCTGCTGCCATCAGGCTACCTTACCACCACAGCTGTTGCTGCAACCACCATCCCCATCCCACCATAGGTGTTATTTTGGGAAAAAGTCCAAGATTCCTAGGAATTTTTTTTTTGTTCAAATCGAACACTTGAATAAAGTTAACATTCCTAAGAGTTTCATGAAATACTCTCAGGAATATTTTTGGGAAACCATGTTGGGACCGAACAATCACACACGCAATAGCAAAATAGAAATGAGAGGAGAGAATGAAGACACATATGTACCCTTGTTCACCCAATGTGGGCTACTTCCAGTAATATTTCACTATATTCTCCTCATCACACTTGTTACAAAGCACTCTATTTTATAAGGGAAATATAAATAGGCTTAGAAACCCCAAGCAACAGTATCTATTTATGAGCCCAAGCCCAAATAACTACAAAAGAGAAAAATAAAATAAGCCCAAACCCCCGTTGGCTTTCTCTGCTTTCTGCCTATAAGAGTAGTCATTTCACTCATTTGAGTGCGAAGTATGGGCCATACCCAACAAACCAAACACTTTTGGCTGCATTCCCAAGAATTGAAAAATAATTCTGCGCTGTATTATGCTGTACGAAAATGATTGCAATTGTGTAATAAGAATTGTAGATTCTGGTAAAGATATGTTCCTTAATGGGAATTCTTTAGTGAAGGTAGTTAATTATCAAAATCATTAAATATCTGTTCTTCAGTCAAAAGATTATATTTTTGACATCCCATCTTCCCTTCATGCATTATTAATACTTCAGTCATGCTGGATGCTTTGTATACTGTATGCATAATCTCAATCTTTATTCAATCATCTTCTTTTGATTGACAAACAGGGCTTTAGAAAGGTTGACCCAGACCGCTGGGAATTTGCAAATGAAGGTTTTTTAAGGGGTCAAAAACAATTGTTGAAGAGTATCAATAGGCGAAAATCTGCTCATGTAAATGGTATTAGTCAACAACCATCTCAGGTGCAGAACTCACCTGTTGGGGCATGTGTGGAAGTTGGTAAGTTTGGGATTGAGGAAGACATTGAAAGACTGAAAAGGGACAAGAATGTTCTTATGCAGGAACTTGTTAGGTTAAGACAGCAACAACAAACGACTGATAACCAATTGCAAACTGTTGGGCAACGTGTGCAGGTAATGGAGCAGCGTCAGCAACAGATGATGTCATTTCTAGCGAAGGCCATGCATAGTCCGGGCTTCTTGTCTCAGTTTGTACAGCAGCAGAATGAAAGTAATAGACACATAACTGGAGGCAATAAAAAGAGGAGGCTCCACAGGCCGGAAGAAGATAATTTAGCAACCAATCATCTCCATAATGCTCTTGATGGACGTCTTGTCAAGTACCAACCTTCTATAAATGAGGCAGCAAAAGCATTATTTTGCCAGATATTGCAAATGAACAATTCTACAAGGATGGAATCATCAATTAAGAACTCTGATTCATTCATTATTGATGAAGTTCTGTCAGCCGTTCCATTGGATAGTAGTAGTTCATCCACTCAAGTTTCTGGTGTAACCCTTTCTGAGGTTCCACCTATTTCCAGACAGTCATATATGGCAGCAGAATCTCAGTTTCCTGGCAGTTGTATGACCAATAGCATATCTGAGGTGCAATCTTCACCTGCTGTGTTGACTGACTGTGTCGAAGGAGCTGAATTTCCAGAACTAACAGTGCATACTTGTGACGACAATGTTTTAGATTTTGGTGAAGTCCAAGGGATGGGGGCAGAAAGCAGCTTCATGAATCCTGATCTAAAGTTTGTAGGGTCTGACACTGTGAATGATGAGGAGATAGATGTGATGTCAACTGTTTTAGATGGGTCACAATCTGTAGAAGCTGATGTTTTTTCTACTGATGCAGATGGTATTTCTAAGCTTCCAGGAATCAATGATGAATTCTGGGAACTGTTTTTGAGGCCAAGCCCACTTACTGGAGATACAGATGAAGTTAAATGTAGCTCTCTGGTATGTGGTTTGACCGAAGACCTAGAAATGTCATCAGAAAGAGAGAGTCAACAGGAAAAGATGGATAAGAAACAGCATATTGACCATCTTACTCAACAGATGGGGCTTCTAGCATCAAAGTCTTAATTGTGTATATATGTTTCTTGCAGATGAAGGTAAATTTTTGAGCTTACATTATCATAATAAGCATGCTGGTTCTCATTGTTCCTTGACTTGAAACTAGTGCAAAATTTTCTGTCATTGGCATGCTCAATTTCTGTCTTGCCTTCTTCAGTGGTGGCGGCTGTAGAGATAGAGGGAAAAAAAATATAGTTGTTTGTGAATGTCTATAATAACATAATAACATCTGACCTTGTTTGAAATGTAACTATTAGCATAGATGTACTTCCAAATTGTATTACAGGAAGAAGAGGAAGGGATTTATTTACCTCCATTTTTCCTTTGTTGTATACATTGTATAAATAAAAAATGGATTATATGCTTATTTTTGGGAGGGAAGAGGATGGAACTTTTCTTTTCTTGTTGCGGAGGAGGATGAATTTTCTTTCATTTTTCCTTTGATGTATTGGTTAGGGAGAAGAGAAGTTGAAGTTGGTTATAGTATTTATATTTTATTTTCCAATATTCTTTGTCCATGATTCCTGCAGACGTTGAGGTCCTTTGCTGCTGGGCAGACAAAGCCATTCTGTTTCTACAAAGACACCAGAAAGATATCATCAAATCCCTGTTTCTCTTTCTCCCATCCGTGTGACTGCCCCTTTTCATGTATTTTGTTTGTCATATGGGGCCAAAAAAACAAATAAAGTTTACGTAAATTCCTATATATCCTTATATGTATTTTGACAATTCTCTGTGCTCGTTCTGATACCAAATGTTAACATTAACAGTCATTCTCCATCTCCTCCTCTGATGATGTGTTAATATTTTAGTGGGGGTGTTCTGTATAATTGCATTATTGAGTTGTTTTCATCAGCATTGTTTCTTACAATTTTTTTATTTGCTGGGCAATTAGTACTAAAATACGAGTTCTGCCCAAGCAAATAAAGCTTTGTTTGGGAGTTTGGAGGGGAAGGAAAAGAATTTAGGGGAAGGAAGGGTATTTTTTCCCCTTGTTTGGGAATTAAAACCCTCCCTCCAAATTGGGGGAATTTAAATTTTAAGAACAAGAAGGGTTTTGGAAGGTTTTGTGAAAGTCCTCAAATCCTTCCTCTCATTTTTTTAAACTCACAAACAGGGAAAGGAATTAATAAAATTTTTCTCTTCCTTTTCCTCCTAAAACTTACTTTCAAACAAACCCTAAAAGAATATGTCATTGGCTGGGTTCTTTGGTGGAAGCTCATCTACGGTTATTGGGTTCGATAGAACTTTGACCTGGAAAAATAGAGAATGTGTTCATCAAAGTTTTCGGTATTTTAGTCTACTATGGAAGTCGATTGCTTTTAATAGGTACGATGCGCAATGAGCTTATTTTATTCTGTATTATGATGGAATACATGGTCTTCTTTCAAATGGATATTAGAAATAGTTTAAATTATAAAAAGAAATAATGTACATTACCATATAAAACTTTTAATGGATCATAAACATTCTGATTTTTAGTCCCTGATATAAATCAAAAGCTTAACAATGCATGGTCCCTTTACACAACGAAAAAAGATGGCACGTTTTTTTCACCAATCTAGATATTTTGTGCTCAAGGTGACAAGAAGAACTATTGCCTCCTCTGGATATCCTTAGTCCACAGGCTCACGACAGTATAGTTTCCTATGGTCTTCGCTTCACATTGAAACAATATTGGCAGTGATAATGAAACATTAGACCTACCTAACATAAACCCTTTATGGAGATTGTATGCCTTTTGGCAAAGTCTTCCTTAAAGCATGTTATTTCCTATTAGAAGCATGTTATTTCCTTCTAAACAAACCAAAGCTCGGCGACCACTCCCACTCAACCAAATTGAAGTGAATAAAATAGCCAAGAGAGACAGAAACATGTTATCATCCGTTACATTACGAGCAAAGGTCATAAATGAATGTTGAACGGTTGACACATATTTCCAAGAGGCACTCTTTTGTTGTGTTTATTAATGGAAGCATACCAAAGAGGGAACATATTTGAAACAAATAACTGATGTGGCAATTTGAAAGAGTACAATATTATAAATTTATTTACTATAAATAGATAAGATTTGATCATTAAAGGAGAAGGGGATGAAAAAGGATAAAAGACCATTCATTCTTACACAAATAAACATTATCAATAGCATCAGCAAGAATACAAAACCGCATCATTTTTCTTCTTCTTCTTCTTCTCTGTGGAAGATTGATCTCTGGCATAGGCTTCAGAATAATCAACGTTATGGCGGTCAGTTGCATGGCTCTTCCATTTTTATGTTTTTGTTCATAATTAAAAGGAACAAACGTGAGGACATTTTGTTGTAACGTGCATGATTCCGTTTTCTTGGAATTCTTCTGTTGTAAATCTGGCAAGGATTTCCAATCAATTTAAGATCTTATTCGTTTTAATTTTACTTTTTTAGCATATAAATCCGTGTATATTTTTTATCCTACATTGAAATGAGGTTATCGGTTTCTGTCCGAGGTTTTTGTCATTTGATTTAATGCTTTTCCTTTGCCTTTTTTGTGTGTGCATATTTTCATTTCTTTGATTATTGTTATTGTAAATAATGTCATTGAGGTCCCACATTGTGTATATGTCTTTGTATCTCTCTAACACACCGTCATTTGGGAGCGTGGATATGGCACAAACCCAATTTTAGTTATTGGGTTACATGGTATTAGCCTCGTGTCCCGGGTTCAATTTTCGTGTGAGGGGTGTGTTAGAGAATAATATAAACCATTAAATAAACTGCAAAATTGGAAATTGTTGGCTCTTAAAAATCCAGAAATTGTTGAACAGGTAAGATCGGTGAAAGTCAGCAACATCTCTTCAGGTGTAACACAGCAAGAATTGGAGGAATTTCTGACCTTTCCTGGCAAAATCGAATATATTGAAATGCAGAGGTTTGTTTATATTAGATTAGTTTATTTTCCATGTTATGAGGCCAATAGATGGTATTCACCAACTTTAGGATAGAGCTTTTCTGCGTTTACGAATGTGTAGATTATAAATAATTGCACTCATTTTTTCAGTGATAAGGGAAGTTCCCAAGTTGCATATGTTACCTTCAGTAATCCAGATGGAGCAGAAACTGCAGTTCTTCTATCGGTAGATTCATTTCTTAGTGCCTTCTGTCAAATTCTGTTGTTAACTAGTGTTCTCTATTTCCCATTCGCTCACTGTTTATTGCAACATGCACCTTTCTTTCTTTTTCTTTTTGGGAAAGCATTACTTGTAGTGCTATGTACCACTTAAATTTTGGTTGGAAAGTGCATCCTCTATGATTTATGACAAGTTAAACTCAAATTTTAATATAAAAAGAAGGGGTAGCCAATTAGTGTTACTACTAATCTTATCACTGTTAGATATTGATCAGCAGTTATATTTATTACCATCTTTGTATGGTTATGATTCCCTAAATTTATTGTGAAAGCATTAAATATGGAAAATTATAACCATACAAATGTGAAAATAAATATAAAGTATTAAATATAGAGAATCATAACCATACAAAGATGGAAATAAATATAACCGTTGGATCAACATAATCGATGTAACAGTGAAATTGATTGGTAGTAACATTGATAGTAACACTAATTGTTGGTTGTTACAATATCATTTCTCCGAAAAAGAGCAAGAGGTGGTACAATTGGGCTATTTAACCCTTTTACCCCTCATTAATTATTTAATAACCATTTTGCCCCTGATTGCAAACTATCTACCAATCTGCCCCTCTTTAATCGATTAAGCCAAAATTTTAATCGATTAAATGGTCAAAATAGACAAAAATCGTTGACTTGGAGATTTAGTCGATTAAATATCCCTATTTAATCGATTAAATCTCCCGTACATAAGGTTGTTCTTCTGATAAAGAGGAAGATTTAATCGATTAAGTTGAAGATTTAATCGATTAAATCTTCATTTGACCATTTAATCGATTAAATACTCAATTTAATCGATTAAAGAGGGACAGGTTGATAGATAGTTTGCAATGAAGGATAAAATGGTTATTAAATAATTAATTAAGGACAAAATGGTAAAAAAGCGGGTACAATTGACTTCATATTAGTTTTTTAAGCTGACATAAAACTTATATTGGTATCTCCAGGGAGCAGTGATGGCTGGACAGTCTATAACCATAGCTTTGGCTCCAGATTATGCTCTACCTGCCTCTGCTGCATCTACATTGCAAACTGTAGTATCTATTTTCTCTTTATTTCGTAGTTATGTGATATATCTCTGTTGAGTTGACAACAGGTTTTGACATTTTATAGTTGAATCTGATCAGGCAAATGAGACCAAAAATGCTGACACTGCTGAATCTGGTTTGAGAAAGGCAGAGGATGTTGTCAGCAGCATGCTAGCCAAGGGCTTCATTTTGGGCAAAGATGCATTAAACCGTGCAAAAGCCTTTGATGAAAAGCACCACTTTACTTCCACAGCCACAGCAAAAGTTGTTTCTTTGGACCAAAAGGTTGGTATTAGTGAAAAAATCAGTGCTGGTACAACTTTGGTGAATGACAAAGTAAAAGAAATGGATGAGAAACTTCAAGTTTCGGAGAAGACTAAATCTGCAATTTCAGTAGCTGAGAAGTCAGTGAGTAATGCTGGATCTGCCATCATGAAGAATCGTTATGTGTTAACTGGGGCTACATGGGTCACTGGTGCTTATAATAAGGTTGCTAAGAAAGCTGAGGAGGTGGGACAGAAAACAAAGGAGAAGGTTTTAGCTCAGGATAATCAAGGAAAGACAGAAGGCCATGTTGTCCACACCATTATGCCTGAACCTCAACCTCCCAATACAGCTAATCAACCATCCAAACCTGAATCTCCACAGGCCACCATGGCTGGTCAACCTCCCAATACAGCTAATCAACCATCCAAACCTGAATCTCCAAAGGCCACCATGGCTGGTCAACCTCCCAATACAGCTAATCCACCCTCCAAACCTGAATCTCCACAGGCCACCATGGCTGGTCAACCTTCCAATCCTACAACAACTTAAGGTTTGATCATCTGGTTTTGCAAGGGATTCTCTGTTTGTGTGCCTGCCATATAGTATATATGGAGTTTGAGCTATATTAATATAGTGCAGGTTATATTTACAAATTTTTTTTGTTTACAAACTATACTATCTTCTCCCGGGAGAACACTAATTTCACTATGTTCTCCCGGGAGAACATAGTGTAATTTGTAAAAATTTATCAAAAAAGTTTCTAAACGGATTCTTCCTCTATTAACATATTACTTGTTTTATGAGAAGTTGGATGGTATATGTAGAATAACCTATACTGTAAAAATAAAATAAAACTGAAGAATAATTTCTGTGTATTGATTCGTTTATGATACTCAATGCACTATCTGTATGCCATGTCTAGGTGCAATACCATGTATCTTTGGTTTTTTACACAAGTTAGTTGTCTCTATATCTGGTTCAGACAACCCAGTTAATAGAGTTGTGGAATATATAATGAGAATACCTGGAGATAAATTATCCAAAAAAACCCTTAATATATATAGGTAGATAATTGATTCAATTTAAAAACAAAAATGACATTTACATATGGTTTAACAGCTTTAAGTCCTGCTGACAGGCTTTAATTGATTAAGCTATCCGTTTAATTGACTCATTGACATATTAGGTCATGTTTTCGACTTTCCAGAACATTGTCTGATTTTCTAAAAGTTGTGTCAAGGTTAAGAATTGACAGGTTGAAAATCATTTTGATGGCTTCAAAAATATTTTGAACTTTGAAAGCCTATGAGCTCATTCGCTTGAACTCTCACCCCTTCACATATTCTATCAAATTCAAGCCTAAACGGTATTGCTCTTAAATTTTTTTAAATCTCAATTTACAAAAAAAAAAAAAAAAAAAAAAAAAAAAAAAAAAAAAAAAAAAAAAAAAAAAAAAAAAAAAAAAAAAAAAAAAAAAAAAAAAAATATATAGCCGATTTTCACACTTGTCTTGGCTCTACCAAGTCCCCTCATTCCCGTTATTATTTTTAGAAGGCTATCATAGGGACGAATTTTGCTTATTTTGAGATATTTCTGCTTGGATTAATGCAATACTGTGAATCAATAAATTTCATTCGTAATAGATTGATGTTGAATTTGGAGCTAAGGCAAATGCGGGACAATGAGAGGCTTGGTATAAATCCAAAACAACATAAAATTTTGATAAATTAATAGAGTATACATCCCTTGGAGGCTGTATTTTTCAATAGCATTCTGTCAAGGAATGCAACAATTTTGTAACTTTTAATGCAAAATTAAAACAAATAAAACCTGCACGACAAAATTGAAGCCCGAAGCAAATGTGAAGACAAAAAGTTCCATTTCTTGAATTAGAACGGAACCACATATAGATAACGGAACTGATATGAGTTTTTTAAAATAATGGCCTATAATCTGATGGATTATTAGCATATCACTTGCATAATAACATTTAATTGATTTAATCTTAGCCAAGAGCCAAAATTTAATTTATCACCGAAATAGATATATGACAACGGTGAAATTTAGAAGTGTAAGAATGTACCATAAATTCTTACAGACATAGGAATGCATTAGGAAAAAAACTATTTAAATTAGCTAATACTAAATGATATTATTACATCAGAGCTTTCCCCAGTTTGGAGAAGCATCCACCAATGACATTGTATATAAATTCCATAGAGATGTGAAATAAATATGTGCTCCCTCTCATGTTCCTTTATCAAATGGGCAAAAGATTTTTTCTCCAAGAACTCAAACTATGATTAATGAATACAAAATTCGCTGACGTCAATTTACTTACTCATGTCTCTCTAAAAACTTCTCTATCACGACGGAGAATGCCGCAAAGCCAGCACAACCGGCACATGCTGCTTTTGGACCACCTACAACAGCGGAAACATTAATGGATGTCATGGTGAAACAAAGGCAGAGAACAGATTTACAAAACGAGTTACATATTCCTCCAAAAACAGAAAATATTAAACAACTAAAAAATTATGATTTCTTAATAATATATCTGCAAAAGCTAAAGCACTTTCCAAAGTGCGCCTTAGATGCCAATCAAAGATATACAAAAGCTAACTGGAATCCTGCAGAATCACTGTTCATGGTATAAGGTTTCCGAGCCTGACTTCTGTACATGCCTTGCCAAGCCATGTATGCCTGTCATGAAAAGGACAGAAAATGAACGAAAAAAGGGTTACCTTTTGCTGATATTGCACCTCCAGTAGCACATCCAGCAACAACAGTATTTGTTATGTCATGTTTTGCTCTTGCCTGAAAAAAAGACCCCAGATGGTAAGAAGAAGAATTAACCTCACATGCTTAATGTAAATATATATAATCATTCCTCAAATCCATTAGACCTTCTCAACAACACACTCAGCAGCTGAGAATATAAAACCCATAACAGCAAATGCTTTGGCTGAACTCCAACTCCTTCGCCCCATCTGCTTTGCTTGATATACAAGCTGTTGTCTGCCAGTCATTTCCTCCTGCATCAGTGGGTTGTCTAGTGCTCCAAGAAACAAACCCATGAAGAGGCCAAGCCCACCTCCTACAAAACACATGAATCCCAAGAAACAAATTGTTTGACAATATATACCTCAACAGCTTTGCAAAGTCTAGAAAAAAGCTGAAGTTATTCAATGACATATTTGATATTTCCCAATAATTTGGCTATGTTAACATCAATTTTTTGATATTATTAGAAAATTCCAAATCCACTCCTTTTAGTTTGTAAAATGCTCTCCCTAGCGATCAATTAAGGATTTTTGTTGGCATTATTGAAACTGAGGTCATTTAATAATTTGCTGCAAAAGCCATCAATTGAAATATATAACCAGTTGACAAAATTCTCAAATTTGATGTGCTTGAAAATATATTATATTCCACAAAACAAGATTTTAACTTGCGTTAAGTCTCGTTAATTGGTACTTCATTGTCAAACACATACTAAGTAAAGCTAGGATCAGATTACCTCTACATCATTTGAAATCCTTGACAAAAAACACCAAATTTACAAAATAATTATATTAACATTTGGAGCACATTAATACAGTTTATGAAGAGGTAAAATCAAGTGTTAAAACGTATTAGGAAAATGAAAAAATGAGGCTTCAATCGTCATACCCATTACTCCACTAACAACACTGCGCATTGCACAATTGTTCCAAATGTCTTGGCCACGAATTTCCTCAACTGTGGGCAATCTTATGGGCTCAATCTGAGGCTTCTCTACTTCTTTTGAGTTCACAGAACCATTTTCAATTCCTTTTCCCAAGTCATCAGCCATTGGTAAAGCTTAAATCCAAGATATGCAAGAGCTGGCTGGAATCCCTGCAAAAGCTGTACATAATGATCAATGAATATTATTATTACTACTTTATTAAGAAGCACAAATAATTCAAAGCGTCTATCACACCAGTGTCGAACACATACCCATAGCAGATAATGTGTCAGATATTTCTTACACACCATCCGATACTTTGAAACACCTAACAATTATAGGTTACATAGAATATCCTTTATAGGATAAACTTGAAGGTACCTACTCTTTTAAATTATGCAAAGAAACAAGGAAACTTAGTGAAGTGGATCACTTATGGTAGTTTTCAAGAAAATATTCCATCTGTGCACTAAAGAGAAAGTTCATTGTCCAAATAACCCCAAGTGCTTGCAAGAAATAAGACTGATAGTTGATATTCCTTTAAACTGACATACTAAATTCCTGAGGGTCCATTCAATTTCTAAACATAACAAGTTACATCAAGAAATAAAAAGTCCATTATAGTGGGTTATTCACTTATTCTAATGAAAATTCTTCCTCGTCAAGAATATAATTATTAACTGCATAACCAAAGGCATGGGGATAACACTCGTTTACCTCTTTCTTACTCATCTCTTTAGCCTAGGAAATTATATGAACTCTCATATCATTCTTTTATAAGATTTTCAACTATTGGTCATTTACTTATCTTTATTACATCTATTGGCCCCAATCCAATTTATTTCATTCTTTCAAATTCTTAGAGGAATCTTGTTGTTAAAATTGCTGAGTTAAGTTTAATACACTTTTCCTCTTTTTGCTATTCCTATCCAGGTAACACTTAGTAAAATTGGTTAGGAAAAGTAACATATCGTTCAGGATCACAACTAGAGTTCAATTTCTACAAGACTATCATACAAGATATCTAACATCTATATTTTGAATAACATGATAAGTTCAGTGCTGTAATAACCGCCAACAAGCTTATTGTTTATACATTCACCCACCTATATAAAGAACAGAAAAGTGGTAATAAGTTCCCTGTTTCATTCCATAATGAATTACAACCTAACAATATCATCATAGCTAAATCTAATCATAACAAGCACCGAGCATTAAACGTTAATATATTATTAAAAAAAGAAAAATAGGTGAACACAATTTTACTCAGTAAAGATAGGAGATCGATTAATTTCGAATTTCAATCTTACTCTCAGCTCAGCAAACGGAAAAGGAAAAGGAAATCGCACGTCAAAATGTATCAGTTTTAAATGTAGATATCACTTTCACATTTGCTTTGAACAGAGCAACGAATTAAACGACAAATCTGCTGAAAGGAACAAACCTAAGAATTCGGAGCAACGAAATATGCAGTGATTTGTGATCGCTGCAAGCACGTCCTCCAGCGTCCGGTGGCCGGCGACGGAAAAGACCTGAAAGCTCACAGTTTGTGGTGTCCGAAAAGGGGACAGCTCCAATTCGTAATTTAGGGATTATGGGTCGGGTCGGCACCGAAATAAAATTGCCCAAAAATCAGACTGGGCTTTTATTTTTGATTTGAGGTTATGAAAAAATAAATCCTGCAAATAAAATTCCCTTGTGGCGGTTTATTGTAAGGGATTTCTTTTCCTCCTTTTACATAAAAATTGTTAAATTTTCTGCTCACACAGAGAAATAATGGGTCCCGCTATTTTATAAAATAAAAAATAAGAAAAAAATGAGGCACAATTGCCTATGTTAGTGCAGGAAAAAAAATTCACTTTCCTGTTACATAATAAAAAATTTACCGTTATTGTAAACTCCTTATAAAAATTAGGATAAACTTAGTAATACTTCTAGAGAAAAGTGTTTGTCATTTTAAATGACAGAAAGTTATGTCATTTTAATAGAGATACAGACACAGAAAATTTGAATATTAAATTAAAAAAAATCACCTACTTTCTCTCTCCCATAATTTCCGTTTTTCTGTGTCTATCTCTCTCCTAAAATGACATAACTTATGTCATTTAAAATGACAAATACCAAACCCATACTTCTAAGGTTTTAGAATTAAAGATGTCTTTTAAACCTTTTTTTAATCAGTAATATGGTTAAAAATATCTATATCCCTTCTTAATATCGTTAGTATTTTATGTCTTTGTTCCATCATTATTCCTATTTAAACAATGGATTCGTCTTTTCTGCAATAAATGCAGATAAGTTATTTGTATTGGGTCCAAAATTATATTATTTTGGAACAAAAATTAAGGTATTTTTGTAATTATAATTTATTTCAAGGTTATAATAGTCTTTATTATTATAATTTTTTAATCTTTCAATGCAAAATCACATCATTTTGGTATTAAATATAGATAACTTATATGTATTCACTGTAGAAATATTAAAGTCTTAGACAATATATATAAATATACTTTAAAGAGTTTAAGTAGTGATAATAATAAAAGAAAGACATAACTTTTTTAATAATATTAACGATGTTAATGAGACGCATAACTAAATTTTTTTTTTGGTAATAAAAACTGTGTTGCCGTGTGTCATACATATGATAATGAAGATTTAAAGTAGCTAAAGGGTATGACATTGAAAGGCATGTCTTGAAATTTCTATGAAAATGAAGGCAAAAGGGAAGAAAATATTGAAGGTATATTCCGAGTATTAGTTAGATCTTATGAAAGTTATTGATAAAACTATACCTATTGATCAAGAATTGTTTAATACTTTAGTTGATCATTCTAAAGGTCATGCAAATCAAAAAAGAGAATATTATCGTCCGTAAATAATGAGTTATGGGATAACTTATAATAAGTGAATTTAGCGTCATATTTTAATTTAAAATCTTAAACTTTATATTTATAGATCTTTTCATTTATGTTTCATATTTGACTCATTTCTTCATGATTCGAAACTTTATCACTAACTTGAATTTTCAACAATTTTTCCCTCGAGTGGGAACCTTAACAACTTTCAACACTCCATTTTTCGAGTATTTATGGGATTATCAACTAAAACTAGGCTAGTCTTAATTCCACAATATGGCTTTAGTGCAATCTACAAACCCAAATACCATGCATCATCTCCAAATACTAAGCCTAGTCAATTACTTAGTTGACACAAGTCAATCAATTCTTGACTCTGATACCACTAAAGCTCAAAATAAAGAAAACTATCATTTACAAATCAATGAAGCCTAGTCAATTACTTAGTTGACACAAGTCAATCAATTCTTGACTCTGATACCACTGAAGCTCAAAATAAAGAAAACTATCATTTACAAATCAATGAGAGCTAAGTGATAACTCACAATAAATAAATTTAACACCATACATTCACTCACACTTTAATTTTCAATACTAATCATAGACATGTGTATGTTATTGAAGACAGTGGGTGATATTAAATCACTAAGAGGCTTGAACCCATGAATAAACCAGAAGGGAGTAGATGATCAGAATTGTCACAGTGCAATTAAAAATATTAAAAAACAGACTTACTTGATATGTATGAAACAGACAGAATCAGAAGAATGAAAAATGCAGTATCAGAGGAATAAAATCCGAGCTCACAGAACGTGTCTCCTTAAGACAATTTGTCCCCTCACTGATGCCCAAGGTTGATGGACACTTGTCTCCCAGGATAGAACGGATTTCGTCTGAAGAATGGCGGCACTACCAATTAACAGCCCAAACGAACACAACAATATGCCAGAGGAAGTCACACCGGAGTATGAAAAGGAATATGCAAAACCGGAAGGAGAAAAATTCCGGCAGAGTTTCAGTGCAGAAAATTGGATTCGTTTTATGAAGGTGTCAGTGTCTATTTATAGACACTGACCGGTCACGTTTCAGAAGGCACCTATTCGACGACGAAACAACACATCTGTTGGACACGAAAAGACACATTCATTCAACACGAAAAGACACCCATTCAAGGATGAAACAACATGTTTGTTAGGATGAAACAACACATCCATTAGGATGAAACAACACTTCTGTTCGGATGAAACAACACATCCGTTCAGATGAAACAACACATCCGTTCAGATGAAACAACACATCCGTTCGGATGAAACAACACATCCTTTAGGATGAAAAGATACATCTGTTTGTCGACGAAAAGACACACCCTTTCATTACCAAACTTCTTATTCATAACCAATAGAGTGTCTACACAATTTATATATATATATATATATATATATATATATATATATATATATATATATTCCAACAATGTATGTTATTTCTAAGCAAGTGGATGATGTTAATTTGAGTGCTATACCAATTGAAGTAGAGATAGCATTTCGTCGTGAGTCGGTTGGTAGACTATACAAGATGATTTGAGTGACAATGAAAAGTTAGACATGTTTAATTTGTGAATAGCTTAGAGACTCAAGGTGAGGACATATATTACACTTCAAATATCTAAGGTTACTTAGGTACTTAGTTTTCCTATAAGATAGTCTGCAAATATAAAAGATGTTGAGTAAGTCTCTGACTATATATGTATGGCTTAGTTGAGGTTTATAGAGAAAATATACCGGTTTGAGATCATAAATTCTACAGTAGACATACTCATACCAATTTCAAGAATGCTTAAGATCCATTTAAATGAGCTTAAAAAAATTATACATTAACTTTTTAAGCATATTTTAGTATCTAGAAAAAAATTTAAAATAAAAAGCAATATTTCGGTTCTTTTTTTCAAAGGGATAGGATAATATCACCTACCTTTTTCATGTTTATTCTATCTACTCCTTTTTAATACCATTAATATATTAAAATCTTAATTAATCTTCATATTTTCTCGCTCTTCTTGATATTTCTGATCTAATTGTGTCCGAAAAGAGTAAGTTGAATAGGCATGGAAAAAAATAGGCATAATATCTTATCATTTTTCAAAAGTAAAAAAAATTAAATCTTGACTTTTAAAAAATCTCATTTTAACTTTTCTTCTGAAAGATACTTTTATTTTTTTTAAAAACTTCCTAGAGAGAAAAAGCATCCAAAGGAGCCCTTAACAAGGAATCCTTGCTAAAAGATTGGCTAGCTTAAAGAAAAGAATGAGAAGAGGGAGGACAAAAATTACGAGTGGTAATAGTGACAGGAAGAAATGACACAATGGACATACAAAATGCCCCTAAGTTAGAATAGAAATGTTTGCAAAAAGTGAACATTAAAGTTAAATTTTAATTAACAAAAAGTTTTTTGTGATAATAATTTAATAAAATGTTAGGATTTATTAATTATTAATGAGTTAACAGCTAATTAACCGAAAGATTTATTGAAATTAAAATTAAAATTTAGAAATGAATTATAATGAAATTAAAATTAAAAAAAATTAGCATACCAAAAAAAAAATTAAAAAAAAATTATTTACAAAAAATGTAAGCTTAAGTGACTCCATATACTTTTATCTTTTATAATTTATGAAGAAAAGAATTGTCTTAAAATATAAAAGGACAAGTTTCACTTTCACCCCTTGTGATTACATAATATATCATATAATCTCCTATAATTAATTTCAAACTTATCAATGAAATTTATTGTGATTACATGAGTATATCACTTAATTCAATGTGTTTTCAACCTATCACATACACTCATTATAGTTATATCAGTGTATGGCTTTGAACTCTTCTGGTCTTATAGATATTAATTTTTTGGTTAATTTTTAAATAAATTATTTTAGATGGTTTTTAATATAATTTTTTGGGTGAAATATTTAATTTAATCTCTAATTAAAAAATTTATATACATATAAAACCACAATGAACCTAAATTATATATTTTTGTAACCGTAATAACTAATAAGTCTAAGTGACAATTTGAAATCAAGTGATATACTTCTATGACGATAATGGGTTTAAATGATAGCTTTAAAATCACAAAGCTTAAGTAATATATAATGTAAATAAGGGGTGAAAGTGATTTTTATAAAAAAAAATACAAATAAACGAACCTTAATTCATCATTTCACTAGAACTAGCTCACGCACATGCCTACTTGTAAAAGATTAATTCTTTTATGTTTTGGAGCAGCTGATGAACTCTAGAATGTCCTCACGTGGATGTTGAAGGATGTTCTCAAATGAGGAAATTTTCTTCTGTAGATCGGATGTACCATTTGGGTACATCTTTTTTCTATAAAAGGTAAATCTTCTTCCCATTTAAACCTTCATTTTCATTTTTATTTCATTTCTATCCTAATTGTTTTATCCTTTTTGGACCGATGCACCATGCATCGGTAGTACCAAAGGATTGCTTCTTTGAAATTTTCTTCTGTAAATCGGATGTACCTATTTGGGTACATCTTTTTTCTATAAAAGATAAATCTTCTTCCCATTTAAATCTTCATTTTCATTTTTATTTCATTTCTATACTAATTGTTTTGCGTGCATAGGTAGTACCAATATTAATTAACTAAGAATTGCACAAATAAATATGACATTTTTTAAAAAAGAAATCGAGTCAGGCCCGCTTGAAAACCATCGAGAGAATAAAATCCTTTGGTATTTGCTTGCCAACTTTAGTTGACTCCACAGTGAAGATCGAGGACAACTCCTCCAATTAATGCTAAGGGAGTCTATTATATTCAATTTTTAATTAGAATATTCTATTCGGCTCTCTATTATATATTGCTTTGGGTTTCGGTCCAATCTTTTACCACCAAAATTAATAAATAAACTCAGTTGCATCATGATGCGCATGGCAATTTTATAATATTTACCGGAAATATAAGAATCATGTTGCAGGAATGACACTGTTCATTCCTGCAACAAGGATACGGCGTCGTATCCTGATTTTAGTTTGACTTTTTTTTTTAAGCGTGAGACCCACACTTGATTTATGTGTGTAGGAAAGTGCTATTATCATGTCAAATGACAAAAAGGGAACCCAATATTTATAGGGGTGAATCAGATCTCTTATTATAGAATATTCTGCAATAATTTTTAACTATATACTTTTGAGAGTATATAATTAAAATATTAAAGTTATTTTTTTTTTCTCTTCTCTATATCGGCAATTTTAATATTTTAATTATGCATTCTCGGAAGTATATAGTTAAAAAATAGTTACAGGACCAAAAATTCATTCTTACGACATGACAAACTGATTTTCCTATTTATATTAATAAATTGAAATATTTTATACTTTGTATTTTATTTATCACTTTGATATTTTCTAAATAAATAATAATTTAAATTAAAATAAAAAATATTCGTCTCACTCTTAAAATTAATTTCCACATTCAAACATTCATTAAACCTTTTAAACTATTAACATAATTTTATGGTGAAGGTTATATTTACAAATTTTTTATTTACAAACTATATTAAGTATGACCGGTCATACTTCAATCAAGAATGTATGACCGGACATACTTAGAGTAATTTGTAAAAAAAATCTGTAAACGGATCTTTCTCCTAATTTTATAGGCTTAACATGCACCGACTTATAATTTAGCCTGGGGATGACACTTATGTTATTTTGAAATTACATGCATCAACATTATAACAAAAGCAAAAAAGAAATAACAGTTTGACACCAATCATGCAAAAGCAACAAAACCCAAATGCCTGTTCATATCATTGCAAAGAGTTAACAAAAAATGTTTATACTAAATTTATTTTTACGGTTTACTTTAGAGTAGTACACCACATAACATAAAAATGCCTTTTCAAACAAGTTTTTTTTAATGAATTTAAAAATGTGTTTAGAAATAGAAATCAAACAGGTCTTTAAACTCTGTTATTTTAACTGAAGAGACATGTCAAAGTGCATGTAATTATTTAGAGTTTGTTCAGTTTAACTTTTTTTTTTTAGTTTAAAAACCACTTAAAAATCAAAATTTTAAAAAATTAAACTATATCTATTTAGCCATTATATAATTTTCTTAGCTTAATTAATGGTATTTTAAAACTAAATTTATAAATAAATTCGTTTGGTAAAATAATTTACATAAGTTAAAATTTTAATTAAAATTCTCAAAAAATATATATAATTGAAAATCTCTTTATATATATGAATGATAATGGAAACTTTCTATATTATTAAGAAAGTTTTAGGGATTAATGTTTCTCATGTTGTATGAGATAAAATTATCACTTGCACACATAAAAATATGTGGGGACACATGAAGAGAAGAGAGAAAAATAAAATATGGGCCCCAAAAATTTTATCTGCATGTAGGAAATAAAATTATTTTATACAATATGAGAAACACTAATCCCATAGTTTTATATAAATAAATATTGTTTAAAAAAAAAAACCAAAAAAAAAAAAAACTTAGCTTTCAAATTTTTTAAAAACAAAAATATATATTTACATATTAACGTATAAATAATATGTTTGCAAATATTATTAGGATTATAACTTTTATATTAGTAAATTGAGTATTAAATTTTTTTACGTATAAACTCTTTTTGTTTATAAATTATTTCATACAACTTTCATATATGAGAAGGTACGTAAGCAATTCATTCAGATAATTCAAAATACATAATCTACCACAATATAAGTAATTCATAATACAAAATCTACCAAACTGGGATCGAGCAATGAGAAAAGTAGCAAGGATGCAATGCCACGGTAATTTCATATTTTGATGGGAACAACCCGCAATGGTATAGCCTTTTGTAAGGTAATACCAAATATTTCATCCATGTCCATATTCTCTGATTCCAAACCATCTTCAAGCTTCCAATCAAAAGAGTTGATTAATGAGCCTAACATCAAGAGCAACATCCTCGTAGCCAACAGTGTGCCAGGACATATTCTCCGACCACCACCAAAAGGTGTAAGCTCGAAATGTTGGCCTTTGACATCAATCTTAGACTCTAAAAACCTTTCCGGTAAAAATATATTTGGACTATCCCATGTCTTTGGATCCCTACCAATTTTCCACACATTGATTAGCACTTGAGCATCTTTTGGGACGGTGTAACCATTGATGTTGACATCTCTCGCAGCTTTTCGTGGAAGTAAAAATGGTACCGGCGGATGCAAGCGGAAGGTTTCTTTAATTATTGCTTGTAAATATGGGAGTCTAGCTATGTCTGACTCTTCAATGAGTTTGCCTTTGCCAATAGTTTGGTCAAGCTCTTGTTTTGCTTTTAACATGACATTTGGGTTATGGAGTAACTCAGTCATTGCCCATTCTAATGTTGACGTTGTTGTATCTGTTCCCGCAATAAACAAATCCTGCTCAACAAAAAATTATTAGTAAGAAAAGAATCTCAACAGTTGTAATATTGAAACCAGAATTGCTGATAAAATATATTTAGGACACCAAATGGTATTAGCTCAGTTGTCACATGGGAGCTAAGTAGGTGGGGACGAGAGTATGTGTTCAAATCTCTCCAATAAAGCCTTAATCCTCGACCTGCCCCGAATCAGATTAGTTGCGAAACATGAACCGATTGGAATATTTTTTTAAAAAAATATATCTAGGACAACAATATATACCATTATAGCTACGTAAAAAATCACTCCCCGTTAAACCCGAGTGTGGGGGGAAGAAATTCTTGTACCTAATCTTACTCTTGCATAATTACAAAGAAGCTGTTTCCTGGATTCGAACTCATGACGTTTCAATTAAATGCAAAAAAAAAAAAAAAAAAAAAGAAAGAAGAAAGGAATTAGGAGGAGAGAGGAGATTACGAAAAACAAATGTTCAATGACTGTATTGTTCATCAACTTGTTCTCTTGACAAATGTTGAGCAGAGCGGCTAACATGTCGTTACTGGCATCAAAACCGGTGCTGGACCTCTGCATAATCCTTTGGTTAACCAAACGATTGAAGATGGTTAACACCTTGTTGGTGTTGGTTGACTGGTGCTTGAATATTCTCTGTGGGTCAAACATCTTCAACACAGGAAAGTAATCTGACAAGTTTGGTGTTCCAACAAGTTTTGTGATATTGGTCACTAAATCCTTGAAATCGAATGCGTTACTTGTAGAGTGAACCATGTCCTGTGAGAATATAGTGTTGGACAATAAATTTATGGTAGTCTTGAAAACTGACTTGCCAATTTCTACTGCTTCACCGATTTGGCTGCTTTGTTGGATTTCATTGATGAGTTGTTGAACTATCTTACGCCTGAGGTCTTTGCTGCCATCAAGAGTCTTTTGTGACAACAATTCAGTGCTGCATATTTTCCTTAACTCTCGCCAAAGAGGTGACACGGGCATGAAGGCCAGGCCATAGGGTTCGTGGTTGCAAATTGTTACTGAGTGGGGAACGGATCGATTTGAGAAGAATTGGTCATGGGTTTGAAGCACCTCTTTGGCCATTTCTGCTGAAGAGATTACTACTGTGGTTATTTGGCCTAGCTTTAACTTCATTACAGGGCCATGCATCATAGCTAGCTTGGCCAAAGATTGGTGTGGCTTTTTCCCTAGTTCAATGAGGTTTCCAATGATGGGAAGAGGGGAAGGACCTGGTGGATGTTTTGGGTTTGGTTTTGATCTGCCTCTTACAAGCAGTGAAATTATGCAAATCAACAGGAATAGCAGTATACAACTACTCACTGACTCCATTTCTGGGTGCCACAAGAGAGTGAGATCCAGAATTAGACTACCAGGGCTATTGGTACACCTTACCAGTGAGTCAGTGTGGTAATCAATTTATGAAGGATACTCATTCCACAAGAAACTAGCTCACGCACATGCCTACTTGTAAAAGATTACTTCTTTTATTTTTTGGAGCCGCTGATTAACTTCTAGAATGTCCTCACGTGGATGTTGAAGGATGATCTCAGATGAGTTTGATCTTTTGTAGAATGGAAGAACGTGTGTCATTTTAAACAATCTAAAGTTGTCTCATTCTAAAAGAGGGAAAGAGATACATAAAATAAGATAGAGTTGACAAAAAAATAAATAAATGTGTGGATCTCATCTCTTTATGAAATGAGAGTGAAAAAATATAAGTCGTGTTATTTTAAAGGATAAACATTTTTTTCTTTCTAAAATAACAATATTACTTAACTAAGAATTGCACAAATAAATATGACATCTTTTAAAAAAGAAATCGACTTTAGATTTGCTTGCCAACTTTAGTTGACTCCACAGTGAAGATCGAGGACGACTCCTCCAATTAATGCTAAGGGAGTCTATTATATTCAATTTTTAATTACAATATTCTATTCGGCTCTCTATTATATATTGCTTTGGGTTTTGGCCCATTCTTTTACCACCAAAATTAATAAATAAATAAACTCAGTTGCATCATGCTGCGCATGGCAATTTTAAATATTTATAATAATAAATTAAAATATTTTATATTTGTAGTTTATTTATGATCACTTTGATATTTTCTAAATAAATAATAATTTAAATTAAAATAAAAATTATCCATCTCACTCTTAAATTAATTTCCGCATTCAAGCATTCACTAAACCTTTTAAACTATTAATATAATTTTATAGACTTAACATGCACCGACTTATAATTTAGCCTAAGGATGATTATGTTATTTTCAAATTACATGCATCGACATTATAACAAAAGAAAAAAAGAAAAAACAATTTGACACCAATCATGCAAAAACAACAAAACCCAAATGCCTGTTCATATAATTGCAAAAAGTTAATAAAAAGTGTTTATACTAATTTTTTTTTTACGTTTTACTTTAGACTTTAGAGTAGTACATCACATAACATAAAAATGCCTTTTCATTTACAAAAAAAAAAAAAAAATGCCTTTTCAAACAAGTTTTTTTTTTATAAATTTAAAAATGTGTTTATAAATAGAAATCAAACAGGTCTTTAAACTCTGTTATTTTAACTGAAGAGACATGTTAAAGTGCATGTAATTATTTAGAGTTTGTTCAGTTTAACTTTTTTTTTAGTTTAAAAACCACTCAAAAATCAAAATTTTAAAAAATTAAACTAAATCTATTTAGCCATTATATAATTTTCTTAGCTTAAAGGGTATTTTAAAACTAAATTTATAAGTAAATTCGTTTGGTAAAATAATTTACTTAAGTTAAAAATTTAATTAAAATTCTCAAAAAAAATATATAATTGAAATAGACTACCAGCCCTATTGATACACCTTACCAGTGAGTCAGTGTGCTAATCAATTTATAAAGGGTACTCATTCCACAAGAAATGAAAATGAGAGTAAAAATATTTACCCATATAAATGAAGGGAAAAATAAATCTTATGTTGTAGGAAAATTCTAATATCATGTCATAGATACATCAAGTATAGGACCCACCTATTTAAAAGAAACAAAAAACAAAAAAATGAGTGACACACCTTTTTATGATGTATGTAGGAAGGCTTTGTTTTCTCATGCAACATGAGAAAAACCAACTCCATAAATGAATGAGAATTGTTTATCTCATTTAACATTTAACATGAGATAAACTTATTTTTCTACACTCACATGCATAAGAGAGATGAGAGAATAGAGAAAAGAGACACCACTCAATATGTATGTGTTTGAAAATTATTTTATCTCATGTTAAATGAGAAAATAATTCCCCATAAATTATGAGTCTATTGTGTGCAATGTTATTAGAGATAAATCAAGTGGCACTCATATTTATCTCAATGCTCGGATGTTACATACCCCTTTTCAGCATGTTTTGTCCTCACTCACACGTTTTCTAGGAAAATTTCCTAAGAGGTCACCATCCCAAAATTGCTCCAAGTCAAGCACGCTTGACTATATATGGAGTTCTTCCGTTCCATGATACCGAAAAAGTAGATGCATCTTATTATTATAGGTAGTACATATTAAATCTTTTAAGTCATTCTCAACTGTACAGTCTCATACCTGCACAATTTCTGGATCTTTCTCTTTCGGGTGTTGATTCGACTCATTCATGTACCCTTTAAGCTAGAAACATGCCAGGAGCCGCTCCTTGTCCGTGTCCTTTCGCACCAGCGATCACTCCCCGTCCTCATCAGCGCCCAAGATGTTATAAAGATAGACTCCATTAAAACCACAAGGTAAGTTTAGCTGTACAAACACTTATACACACTCAAAGCCACTATTTTGGTGTAGTGTTTGTTGAAAATCGATACACACACAAATCAAAAAACGAAAAGAGAAGAGAGATTTGATATAGAGATTTATTCTGGTTCACCCAATGTAAACTATGTCTAGATTGTCTGTACTATATTTACCTCTACTGTCACTCGTTACAAGTCACTAGATTTACAAGAAAATATAAATAGGATTTAGAAAACCCTAACAGGCAACCATAATTATTCATGAGCCCAAACTCAAAGTACTAAATAAAAGAAAATTACCATATGACAATGGTAAGATATTTAGATAAGTTATATTATATGTATTCAATTCCCACTTGTGTTAAAAAAAACACACACACCAATAATATGATTAATTAAGCTTTTAAGTGAAATAAAAACTCACAAGCTTATACACACGTGGTTCTTGAGTCAACAGCAGTTTATGAATCAACAGGCATGCATGTGATCGGCAAAAACAAATAATTAAATTGTTTAATTTTGTTGTATTGTGTGAGAATCTTTTAGACTATGTACTCAATATTAATATATTGACATATTGTTAAAAAGAGTTATACTTTTTAATGATATCAGAGTCTAATAAATTGTACACTTGTTAATAGATGCTAATCTTGATTGTTTTCAATAATTTAAGTATTTAATAAATTAAAATCTTGTTTACCAATTTTTTTTTTATAAAAATCGTTAAATACAAAATTCGATTACTTATAATGAGTACAAAATTAACTTACTATGTAAATTGATTCTTTCTTTATTTTTTAGCATTGAAATCAAGTTATGAAATAATTTAATAATATACAATTATATAAAGTATATAAAAAAATTGCGCAAACGATCAAAATTAAATTAATGAGTATAGATTCATGTCACGTGTTGATTTTCTTTTTTATCTATAATTTATACGTGAGGTGTATGCCACTTAATAATTATTTTACATATAAGAGAAGTTTTTTTTTTTTTGATACATACGCATAAGAGAATTTTATTGTAAGGGAATATCACAAGCATCACCATTTGTGTGTTTGGAATGTAAACAAAAACAATTATTTAATTGTATGTGAGATATTGTATAAGCTAAATTACTTACCTATATAAAAAAAAGAGAGCTAAATTACTTACCTCAGTGATAATTTAAAATGTAATTTCAAATTGTCTAGTATTAGAGATGAGCCAATTCTTATCTAATAATATTAAAATAAATTATACGATTTAATTTTTAAAATCTCATAAATTTCAATGATTTAAATTTAAAAAACCCTTAAAATATAATAAAATTTATCAAGATTTGATATGACTTTAAATAAATAAATTATATATACTTAATGTCTTTTTTATTTTACCTTTTACACCTAATAGCCAAGCTGTAAATGTGATATTTTTTTAAATTAATTCAAATTTACATTTTTATAATAAATTACACTCTTAAATTTATTTATTTTTTGGTAATCTAACGGGATTAAAAAAACACACCAAAGAGAAAATTAATTCAAAGCAATCTTGTGAAAATTACAAATCAAAGAAAAATCAGCCAAATAAAGAGGTCAAATACCAGGAGGTGGGGTAGAAAAATACAAAAATTATTCCTCATGAATAATCTAGCAAGTACTTGTAGACCCGGTCCCCTCAACTATTACTTTCTCTAAAACATGAACCAGGTGAATCTCTCAATCTTTCTACAACTATGCTTGAATACGAGTCACCAGGCAAGACTCTCGAGCTGTTCTTCCATTTCTGATGAGTAAATTGATAACAGAGTTTGAATCACTTTCTAATACGCAGCGCCTCCAATCTCCCGTCCAAGCAATTTCTAGATCTTTGAGGACGCTCATAATTCAGCAACTAAAGTTGAACAATGACTAATATGCAAATCCTTGTCTCCATTGAGCAATTCAAATTAAATGAAATAAATAATTTTAATTCAAATTAAGTGACATCTTTTTTATTATTAAGGGGAAATTATATAAAATCACATTTTAATTAGGGATAATTAAAACAATTCAAATATATATTATTACATCATAATGTGATTGAATATATTTATTCATTTTAGAATAAAAATACCCTTATCTTTAAATTATTACACCGCCGTATAGGCTATGGCCACCTATGAAGCACCGACACTTCAAAAACTCCGACGTGTTTTGTCCGACACTCCAATACTTCCCGACACTTCAACGCGCATTATAGAAACTCAAAAAAAGATTCAAGAGTTGCGATGTATTTTTAGTTCTAACTATTAGATTTGTTGGATTATTATTGTCATTTTATTGAATTTAATATAAATATTTGTGATATCTTATATTTCTTTGCAAAATTAATGAGTATTATAAGTTTAGCTTTATTTTTTGTTAAATTATTGAATATTAAATATAATATACGCAATATAAACTAAAAAAAATATCAAAACATGTCATAATGTGTCAAAATCTAACATTATTTAGAATTAATATATCGAAAAATCGTGTCGTATTGTGTCTCGGGTATCGTTTCGGTGCTACATCTCTCGCACCTTCGCTGCTGGCTCCCAAATTCCCAATCAAACCAGCCACCAACACCATCAACGATTTTTATTACTTATTGCTCCAAATTAACTGCATCTTACTCTCTGTTTGAAAGGTGGTGGGGTAATTACCAAAAAAATAGGTGGAGGGTTCACCAAAAGTGCTTCATTTCCAAAAGTTTTACTTATAAAAAAGTAAAACTCATGTAAGTAAATATAATTCTTACCTGTATCGGTTAAGATAATTTTAATAAGATTTGGTTGAATGATGGCCTCGAAATGAATTTCAAAGGAGTTAAAAGTCCCCAAATACATGTTGGAGGAGGGGTAATAAATTTTAAACGTGACTAAGTCTCGATTTGAAATTAATTTAATAGTCAATTCAAATTTCAAAGAGTTGAAACTCGTGAAAATACCATTTGACTAGCCTCAAAAAATAATTAGGATCATTATAATACACACATATATATATATTCTTAAACCTTCTTTTCAGCCAAGATGCGTGCTTTATATATTTTCAGCAGAATTTATCATTTCATTTTCTATTTTTGTCACCGTTTTGTAATCTTACTCACTAGCTTAAGTTTTTGAGTTGAATTGATTTTTTTTATATGATATCAGAGCTTCAGTGACTAAAAAAATCATGAATTCGATCTTTATCTTCCCTTACTTTCTAGTGGAATTAAATAAGACAAGGTAAAAAAAAAAATTGGGCCTGTGTAATATCCACGCTTCAAGCTCAAAGGACTCTTGTGTGAGGGAGTGTTAAAAAATAATATAAACTATTAAAAAGAGACATGTCTAATGCCTTAAGGTTTTGGGTTGAAGTGGTTCTTTACATGGTATCTGAGTTTCGGTTTTAGGGGTTTGATACTCACCGCCTCCCATTCTTTTATTTTTTGGATACAAGTAAGAATTGAACACATGACAAATATCTGTATCCTTTATTTTATTTTATTTTTGAGTTACCCAACCCTAATTGATTACCTCTTTGAGGTGAGTTGGCTGCCCCATTGTCCCAACAAGCTTCGGCTCTTTGGACTGGCTATGAGACTAATCTGGAGTGCTGGACGGGTCAGAGATAGAGATATTTAAACCCCTACCAAAGTGGCAAGTGAGAATCGAACCGAAGTCCTTTATTTTCTAATACTCAGCTCCCTTACTACCTATTGAGCTACCGCCATTTGATAAAAAAATTATTTTATTGTTTTGCATTACGAGAATATCTTTGGTATATCAAATGTATCGAACTCGATACATTTTTTTTTCCAAATTTGAAAAAAAAATCACCATTTTTTAAAAATTTGTATCCTTCCACATTGCAAAATTTTCCACATTGCAATTTTTTTAAATTTGAAAAAAGATATACCGAGTTCGATACATCTAATATACCATAAATATTCTCATGAATTATATGTTATTTTCTCGCTCGAAAAGTACACAATACGATTTGTATGTTCTGAGGAAAAAGCAACAGAGGTAGGCAGGTGGGAAATTTCTTTACTATTAGGGGGCGTTTGGTAGAGGAGAAGTTTTTTTATCCAAAAATCACGATTACTGGAAATATGTTAGGAAAATGAGTTTTCTAGGAATGTTACAAAAAAATTGTTTGGTAGACCCAAATATTACCGAGAATATTGACTAAGTTTTCTGAGTCTATGTTTGGTTGATGTTAAAATATTGTTGGGTAACATCGGTTGAATTTACCAAAAAAACCCTTATCATTCTAAATTCTCTCTAACTCTCAATCAACACGCAGTGAGAAAACTCCTTCTGCCTTTGTCGGTTCATGGCATTGTGTTTGCTCCCTACGCTCCGTGGTGGCGGTTGCTCCGAAAAATAAGCTTCGTTCACATGTTCCTAGGCATAGCCATGTGAAAGGACAGAAAGGGAGATGAAATTGCATTGTACCTGTGATACAGAAGTTATTTCATCCAAATCCAAGTGAACACCAACCAATGGCGGAGCCAGCCTCTGATTTTAGCCCGGGCCAAAAAAAATTACATATTAAATATCAAAGATTATATATCAAAGCAAACATAAAGGCACTAACATTTTCGGTAAGAATTTCAAACATAAGAATTGTATTTTCCTCCCACATCATAATAAGTAATGAATCAAGCATTTCCCTAAGGATATGAAAACACACAAATATAATAATTATAGGTATAATAACATTTAATAAATAATTTAAAATATAATAAAAAATTACACACCTAAAATTGTAAGCGACGCTCTTTTAAATTAACGAATTCTTCAAGGATCGAATCTGTAGTAAAAGTTTCAGCAATATCTCTTTCAACATACACAACCAAATTATTTGCAAGAAAGTCATCCTCCATTTTGTTTCGAAGCCTTGTTTTCACAATTTTCATTGCTGAGAATGCACGTTCTCTACTTGCTGTTGAAACTGGTAGCGTTAAGATAAGACGAATTAGTCTACCAACCAAATGATAAGAATTTGACTTTCCTGTCTTAGCTAATCCTTGGCACAACTCAAAAATTAAAGATAAATTTTGAAGTTCTGGATGTTTTGGGATGTCCTTGTGGAAATGCTTCAATTGACAATTCAAATGAATTCTCTCTTGCTCAGAAAAATCAAGAGGATAATATTTCTCTGCAAGGCTACAAATATCATCAACATTAAATGCTTTGTAACCATTCTTCGGATCTAATGAAGAGCTAAGTGATAAGTTCCATTGTTTGCTCAGTAAACCTTCAATTTAATTCTTGTAATTGAAAGTCAATGGTTGAATCAAAGATATCAAAATGATAGTGATGCTCAATAGTTATTTGATCATGTTGTCGACGGCCACGACCTTCAATATATTGAGCATTAAGATCTGGAACATCTATTTCATGAAGCTTAGAGAAAGTAACAACATTTTCAAGTATTCTTTTCCAACCATCATTTCGCAATTCTTGAATAAGTTCCTTTGTACTTGAAACTAATTGCATAGAATTCAAAATATCTTGAGATTTTTGTTGCAATGCTTGACAAAGAATTTCAGTGATGCCCATGATCTCCTTCATCAAAAGTAAATTAAAGATAAACTCAAAGGAAGTGATCATCTTATAAGCTGCAGTAGCATCTCCTCTTTGAGAGTAATTTGAGCCTTCGCTACGAATGTTTTCAAGTACTGAACATGATTCATTATACCCTCGTTGAAGACTGCATATAGAATAAAAATGAGAACTCCATCTAGTATCACTAGCCCGCTTTAGTGTACCTACTTGGTTAGAACCTGTACCAGTTTCAAGCTCACCAATAGTCTGCGAACGTTCAAATTCAGAAATTTGGGCAGCTTGGAATTGATCATGATGTTTAGAAGATGCAGTGATAATATTAATGATGAAATTCAAATTCTGAAAGAATTGATAAATAGAAGAAACTTCCTTAGAGGCAGCAATCAAAGCTAATTGTAATCGATGAGCAAAACAATGCACATAATAAGCACAAGGACATTCATTAAGAAATAATGCTTGCAATCCATTCCATTCACCACGCATGTTACTAGCACCGTCATATCCTTGGCCACAGATATTCTGGATATCAAGGCAATGACGTGAGAGTATTTTACTAATAGCATTTTTTAGTGTCATAGATGATGTGTCTTGAACATGATAAAGATCAAAAAATCTCTCTTTTATGAAACCATCTTTGTCAACAAATCTCAAGCCAAGAGCCATTTGTTCCCTTTTAGATTCATCATGTGCTTCATCCACAATAATACAAAACTTAGAATCCCCAATTTCTTTGCGAATATGTTTTCGCACTTTATTTGCTAGAACATATAAAATATCCTTTTGTATTTGAGGTGAGGTATACTTGGCTGTCAATGGAGCATTCTTTAGAACAACATCTGCAACTTTTTCATTGTAAGATGTCAAAAGTTTGATCATTTCAATAAAATTACCCCTATTTCTTGAATCAATAGTCTCATCATGCCCTATAAAAGAACTTCCTTGAAAAGAAAGCCAACGAGTAACATCAATTGAAGTCTTAACACGCAACCTGTTTTTTCAATTTGTTGGGAGCTTTAAGCATGCATAACTTTATCAATATGGAAAGACTGATTCATTAAGTCTACACATGAGATGAGTGCATTAGTATGTTGTGAACAAGGATCATCTCCCATGTGACTTATAAAAACACAATCCTTTCCACTATGAACTCTTTTCCAACTATTAAAACCTTTGATTGTGAATGTATCCCAACCGTGTCGCCCACCGACCTTTGTATTGAAAAGATAGCATGGTAAACAAAATGCAGCATCTATAGAAGGTGAGTACTCAAGCCACGAAGAAAATTCTTTGAACCAAGAAGCTTGAAAACGTCGAGGATGCTTTTCCTTTGAAAATGGATAAGAGCATTGAGGTTGATATGGCCCAACTATTAAATAAGCTCTCCGTATCTCATCGACTTCATTAGCTGAATATTCCCAAATTGGTTTACGTTTGCCTGGATCATGTTCAAATTTTTTATTTTTGACTGTAATAATGTCATCAGTATGTTCAATTCTACGACACTTGGAAGGAGGTTGCTCATGAGAAGGTGCATCACTTTCAGAAATTATGTTCGTAGGAGCATCACTTGATTCACTTTCAGAGACTAGTTTCTTTTTAAAGAACACATCTATACTTTTCTGTTTATCCTTACCCATACTTTTCAACAACTACCTGAATCAGAAAACACACCGAATACAAAAATATAAATTACATTTAACTAACATGACTAAGATTAAATACTATAAAGAAAAACTCATTCTTACACATTTTTAATAAAATCCTAGAATAGTGGCCTAAATATCTAATTCTTCAAACTTAGAATTGTAAAATAATATACTTCTTAAAGATAGTAAGAATGTAAAACCCAAAAATAATAGATAAGCATATGCTATCTTAAGGACATGACAAACCTGAAGACAATTATAAGATGCTATCCGAAATTTCTTCTCAGCATTAAGTACCCTAAACACTTCACTAACATCAATAAGATGCTTCCTTTTCACATACCTGAATCATTAAAATTAAACAATAATTAACTCACAAGAAAACATAACAAGTTCATATTAAAAAGTACAAATAAGCTAAACCAAGAGTTTATATAATTTCATCTCCATGTAACTTGGCTGATGACTTACACATAAAAATATCTGTCATGTGCCCATTGTCCACTAATAGATGATTTAGTTCTCCCAAAACAAAAAAATTAGAGTACTTGATAGTTATATGCTAGCATTAGAGTACAGTGAGAACCTGGAAAGCACAGACACCAATTTTTTTTAAAATTTGCGTGTCGGACCCGTGTCTGACACGGACATGCTCGGACACGCATCCGACACGCGGTCAACTCTCCGACACGTTTTTCCGACACGCAGTCAATTTTTTCCGACCCGCGGTCAACGCTCGGACACATTTTTTTTTAATCTTAATTTTATTTTGTTAACTAAATATAAAAAAAATAATTTATAAATTAATTTTTTTCTATTATGAAATTTGACATGAAAAATTAACAAAGTACGAAAAATTATTTATATTTATATTTATGTTATGAAATTTAAATATTTGATTGATTATATGACTTATTATGAACTCTTATATGTATTAAATATAAATTATATTATATATATTAAAAATCTTATTTAATATCAAAATGTGTCCCAACATGTCGAATATGACATTTTTTAGAATTAACGTGTTAGCGTGTCGTGTCGTGTCCCGTCTCCGTCTGCATCATAGTGAGAACGACAACATTGGAGTACAAATGTTGAAATCTTGTTTCCTTTTGTAACTTTATAGTTATATGCTAGCATAGTTTTCGGTAGGTTGTATGATGTATAAAGGACAATAAATGTTCCTTGGTTATTATATTCAGACCCCTTTGCAAAAGAGATTAGGAATAAATTGATTCAGTTCTAAATTTTCTCCCGTCTGAACTGCAACAAGAAAAGGTCTATATTGGGCCACTTCTGAATTATATCCTAGTTAATTAAATTAATGTTTGTTAACTATAAAAAAAAGGACCAATACCTTGAGGGAAGAATGCAGATATATAAATCAATATTGGGTATCTGATAAGTGACCAGTGTGACCAAAATGCAGATAAAAGGACGCCATACATTAAGGACAGAGCCAATTTTGAAGCTGCCTATTATCTGCTCTTTTGACACTAGACAAAGCAAAGGAATATGTGCAAAGGGGATTTGGACTGACTGAAGAACATTAAGCCACTCATTCAGAACATCTAAAATATAAAAAAATAGAGTTAGCATCATCCAATCCAATCCATTTATATATACTTTGTTGATCAAGTTGTTGTTCAAAATGTTCATAAGTCTTCAGGCAAAAAGAACAAACAGAAACAGAGCAAAGATGATAATAAGGTCGGTTTTTTGGGGGGGGGGGGAATTGAAATAATAAAAATTCCTAAAAACTTGTTGGGTTAAAGGTAGGAGCCTTAGCTTAGCTCAATTGGTAAAGAGAAAAAAGCTGAAGATGGGAAGAAGAAAAAAGCCATGATACCGAGAGAGAGAGAGAGAGACCAGTTGACCTTAGAAGTTAGAATAGGGCAAGAGAGAAGGATCATCTTATAGAAGAAATATAAATTAAGAGAGTCAATGAGTGATAATCTTATTATAGATTTTTTAATCTTATTAAATATTTTTAATTTTTTTTGAATGCAAGGTGAAATTGAACACATAACTTGATACAACCTACTCAAATCCTTCATCAAATATATTTTAATATTAGCCCGGGCCAAATTAAAATTTTAATCCAAATCAAATCATAATTAATTATATAATTATATATAATAAATAAAATTTGTTAAAATTTTGTCCGAGTCCAGACACCCCAGCCTTTACGTGGCTCCGCCACTGACACCAACACACATAGTCAAGTTTCACTTAAGGAAAGCAGAAAATCCATATAAAATCAAAGCAACAAGAAAAATTGTGGGAACGATGAGTGTGAGAGTGAGAGTCAGAGAGAGGCATGAGAATGATGACTGCTGTAAGAAGGATTTTTTTGTCCAAAAAATTAGTCAAGATTTTTCCAAGAAACCAGATTTGGGAAATATCACATAATTTGTGGTATTTGTTGATGGTGTTTGGATGAATATTTTGCACTACATCCAAATTTCTGTCAAAACTGGAATCATGGGATAAATTTTGGATTACTTATATCAAATATAGATATATTACAATCATGGCATAGCGGAGACTAAAAAAAAAAAGAAAAAAAAAAAATCATGGCATAGCATTTTCGATGCTAATCACTAATCCTTCACAATCATGGCCGGCACAATCAATCCCTTTCGTTTTTTCCATAGAACTTGCAACATAAGAATTAAATAAATTAATGTAGCTTTGTCCATAATTTTACTTTTATTTTTTACAAATTTATTCTTAAATTAGATCTAGTTATGTTACTTTGTCCAGAAAAAAAGAATATGTTATTTTATTTTGTTGGTCTTCATATAAACAAGCGCGGACCTACATGGGGGCGTGCATGGGCGGCCGCCCCCCTCTAAAATCTGAAAAAAAATGTCTACATCCCCAATAAAATACATAGTATATTTCATTTTTCATAACTGGTGGGTTACTTTAGCAAAACTAGTATTGTGTGCCCTTTGGATCTGAAATGAGTTGCATTGATTTCATCTTGTTGACGATCAGTACAGTCTTTTTGTTCAAAGCTTTCGACTTCACTTTCTGAGTCTCCTTCTTTTGCTTCATTTGATACCCAAAATCTGTTAGCATGAGAAATAAGCTTGATACCCATTTTCCTGTTGTGAGTATTTTCACTTTCTCTTTGTAAAGTTTTGATCTTTTTGTAGTTTCATGCTGTTCGAATGCTCAAAAACCAACAGAAACTGAAAGAAAAAAAATGGGTATAAAATAATTATAATTTGCAATAGTTTTCGGAATTTATTTATTTAGCTTTATGGTGCATGATAACTGAAGTATATGGGTTTGTAGTGATGTGGGCATTATGGAACTTTATGATGTTAGTTTTAGGTGCTCGCCTAATTTGGGTTCTACGAGCTTCCCCCTCTTTTTGGATTTATTTTAGTTATGTAATTATATTTGTTATTAAAATTATTTAATGGGTGCATCTCTTGAGACCGCTGTACATGTTTTTTGGTTTAAGATTGTGATCTTACTTTTCATTCTTGACATGGCACATGGCAATGAAGTAATTTGTGTTAAATTCGTTAATTTAGTATCCTTGTTAAATTATATTTTATTTAAAATTCTATAAGTTAGATTTGTTAAATTTTTGCCCCCTTTCATATCATTTTCTGGGTCCGCCACTGCATATAAAGTTCATAATTTAATTTTGTTGTACAATTTATAAATTCCTACGAATCAATGCATATTTAAAAGATACGCTTTTGTGTTGTTTTATGGTTTTGTTTTCAAATAGGTTATTTTTGGCATTTTCATTTATTGAGGGTATGTTTCACATTTTATATAATAAAACCATTTTTAACACTTAGGAGATTAAATGATAAATTATGAAATCAAAATGGATGTAAACGATAAGTTTGAAAATACAAGAGATAAAATAATAATCATTGTAATCACAGTAAGCGAAAATAAAGTTTTCCTTTATTAAAAAAATCTAATTATAGAACGTTCTATATAATTTCCCTAAACAAATAATACAGTAAGATATCGCTTCACCAATACAAATGAGCGAATGGCATAAAATGTAAAAACTTTTCAAATGAACTAATAGTTTATTATTTCGCGTTATAAAATTTAAATTTATGAGTTAATATATAAAATCAATCATCCAATGAATGTAGCTCAGTTAGCAATACAAACTGAGTAGATAAAAAGAGAATCCGAGTTAAGTCTCGACTCGATATTAGCTTCGTAGCTAGCTCAAAGAGTTCAAACCTATAAAGATATTGAGCGCCGACTTGTCTTAAGAGGTCATTATGGTTGACTCAGAAGCACCGACACACACATTTGGAAAAAAATAATGTGTCGAACACGTGGCCGGCACAAACATATTCTGACACATGTGCGACACTTGATCAATATTTTGGGAACGCAATTAATGCTCCAACACGCATCCAACAATTTTATATTTCTTCGGAGTACTTCAATAATTAGAAAATGTGAATCATCTAATTTTTATCTTACCCGTCCTTTTAATCTTCAATGCCACTTTAGTCACATTTATTAAAGTTTGTGATTTGATCTAAAATTATTTAATTTTCTATATTATTTTTTTCTATCACTTACCTTTTATGTGATATCTTTTATCGAAATCCACCCTTAATACCATGGGATATGTTATACTTATCATTATTTTTTCCTACAATCTCTTACTATCTATTTTATAATCGTTGAATTAAAATCAAATCAATTGTTACAAAATAACATCAAGTAAGAGCTGTTGATTTGAATTTGATCCAATGATAACAAGATTGATAGTAAGACATAGTAAGAAAAAAAGGTGATAATATTAAATATTGGGTTAATTTGTCCATGTTGCCTTTGCAAGTATAGTACAAAAGTACAAGAGAAGACCAAGAAGATAAGTTATAAAATATTAAACCTTAGGGAGTTTTTAACTTTTCCCTTGCAATAATTAGAAGAAAAAAAAATTGATGTAAGAAAAAATATGAAATTAAACAAGTTAATGAGGTATATGACTGCTTTTTTACCCTTATAACCCTTTATTATTAATTAATTACCGATTTGACCTTGATTATAAACTATTTCAAAAATTTAACCCCCTCAAAAAACATAACACCAATCTGCCTCTGTTTGACCGTTGACCACCAAGCCTACCCGGGTACACCCCTCTGTACCCGGGTATTTTTTTGAAAATTTTTGTCTACCCGGATAGGGAGGCGTGTACCCGGGTATTATTCTTCGCACCTGAGAAATTGCTTGAATTATTTACCCGGGTAGAGAGGGGTGTACCCGGGTAAATCTTCAACCACCCGGTATGATTACTCTTTGGATCTCCCATGCACTCTTCTTCTCCAAGCTTTGAATATGGAGGCACCCACTATCACGTGCTCTGCCTCTGCAACTTTTTTGGGTCTGTAAAGCACACAAATATTTTTCAATGATTATTTCAGAAAGGGAATTCTCAGTTAACAGTATAAATCCACAACCACAAACCTTGTCCCATGCATGTCTTCCCTGAACGTGATAATTCGTCATTTACCAGTAAAATGAAAAGCTGCATGCTCACACTAAATTTCTGTACCATGAACCCTGTCTTTATTTTCTTTCCGTCTCACTCTCCCCAATAGACCCGGTACCACATTTATATATAGGAGCGCGATTTTGACGTACATAAAAGTAGACCCCATCATAATCGATACGAACAGGGACCGCTTTGATGAGCAGTAAAGTGTTGATGTATGGAAATTCCAAATCCATTCTCAAAGCTAAAAGCTCTTCAAATTGGTTAGGCATGCTTAACTTGATAATACTGATCTATCTCATTAGCTGTAAAAAAGAGAAAAAAAAAATTACCATGAAACAATTAATTACACATCCGCAAATATAATCAACTTGTGGTAAAATCAAATAAATCATATCTGTTCTTATATCCATCAGCTACAAGTTGCCCCAGTTATAGCAAATACCAAATGGGTGGTCGAAGATTTACCCGGGTACACCCCTCTATACCCAGGTAAATAATTCAAGCAATTTTTCAGGTACGAAGAACAATACCCGGGTACACGCCTCCCTACCCGGGTAGACAAAAATTTTCAAAAAATACCCGGGTACAGAGGGGTGTACCCGGGTAGGCTTGGTGGTCAACGGTCAAACAGGGGCAGATTGGTGTTATGTTTTCTGAGGGGGTTAAATTTTTGAAATAGTTTATAATCAAGGTCAAATCGGTAATTAATTAATAATAAAGGGTTATAAGGGTCAAAAAGCCGGTATATGACCATTACAAATACAGGTATACCATCAAAATATCATCAACGTGCATCTTTTATATTTATCATATATATAGATCTTTTGACATCACATCTTAACTATTGATTTCTGCTAATCTAACAGTTATTAAGAATTAATAATTAATTAATAAGTATGACCTAATAATTAAACTGTTAGATTCACGAAATCAAATATTAAGATTTGGTATCAAAGTATCCTGCATCACACACACACACATATAGGAATACTAGTCTCATGTTGTAGGATATTAATATCTCATGCCATAGACACAAAGCATGTGGGGTCCACTCATTTATTTTTTATTTTTTTAAAGAATGGGTCTCACATACTTTGTATCTATGACATGAGATACTAGCCTCCTATAACATGAAACTAATATTTTTCATATATATATGTGTGTGTGTGTTTGCCGATCCTTGTATTTGAGTGCATTACTAAACAAATTTATTATTATCTTAATAATTTATTTTTTATTTTACATTTTATCTATTTTTTAATAATAAAAAATAATATTTGAAAAATAGTAGAAATAGTCAAATAGAGCACTAATAACAAATTTGTTTCCGCTTACCAAAAAAAAAAATTGTTTCCATTTTATAAAAAAATAAATTACAAACTGATACGTCCAATCCAATATGGACTGGGCTAAACCACACACAGTTGAAGGTTGAAGACTTTGCGTTGGGTGAAGTGATTTGTGGGCTGATGATGTCTGCAATGTAGTTAATTGATGTTGAGCTTCCTTGGCACAATGGATCTGACTAGGGAAGATACCTGCAATGACACTCTGACGCTCAAGTTAGTATCAACGCTAGACTTATGTTATATTCTTATATTAGATGATCATACATAAGTGTGTACCTTTCGTTTATATAGCAAGTCTTATGCCGCCTTTGGTAGGCGGCATGGCTTCTGATTGGTTATTCATGGGCTGCAGACTTATCTATCTCAGCTAGTGCCTTTCTGGCTATATGTCTATATATTGGTTTGTCTTCGTAGAGTGGTGGCAAGCAGGAGCTGTCTTTTGTGTACTTTTAAGTTATATAAGACGATTTTGCACAATGATGCCATTGCGCCTTTGGGTCTTTTGCGCGATGGTGATATTACATATTTCATGGGGCTTGTTTATTCTTGGACCTATTCTGGACTTTAACCCTTGTGGGCTTAATGTAGTTTATCCAGATCACAAACTTTACACTATCTAATCATAATTTAAGTAAATCGCAAGAGTGCCTAAAAATATAATCATCATCATCTCAATTTTATTTTTTTAAGCTTTTTTCTTGGGGAGAAAATTATAATGAATATTAAACATAATACCGTTTATTTACCTTGGTCATATACTTCTTTAGCTTATTCCGTTCCATATTTTCTTCACTTTATTTTTTATTTTTTTAAATTATTGCAAGGAAAAGTTCAAAAACGAACTCACCTATGGTTTAATATTTTATCTCTTACCTTCTTGTACTTTTCTTTTTTAATCACTTACTTTCCATTTTTGTTTTTTACTTATTTATTGGGCAAAATGGATAAATTAACCTAATATTTAACAGTATTAGTAATGAATTTGGACGGGAAAAACAGAGAAAAAATAAGTGATGAAAAGAAATAAATAAGGTTAAATAATTTTGGAGCAAACCATAAGAATATATATATATATATATATATATATATATATATATATATTTTTTTTTTTTTAACTTTTCCCTTGTCTTTTATAGTAAATGAGGTTGTAATATGGGAGTCTGCTCACAAGTCACAAATAATAAGCGAACAAAGATATAAGGACAAAGTAACTCACAAATATAAGCAGCGTCATAAGAATTAAGAAAACTCAGGACTAGAATGTATAGAGCATAGACGATTGAAGTTTGTTTTATGTTTTCCGTGACGTAAAATACGAGGAATTGGAATTGAGGAGGAGAGATTGACTTCGATTTCACATATGATAGGACTTTGGAGGAGACTTAGACTCCAAGAGAACATTCAAACACTTTTACTCAGTCTTAGCTCGTCCTATTCGTCTTTTTCCAACATCATCAAACAAGTGATCAAACCTGTGCTTCTATTATTTTTCAATTACGTGTGTTCCAGCTTTTGTTTTCATCCAAATTAACCATTTCACTTCAGCAATCCGAAATACACGTTAAATAAACTGGAGTTCTGTCTCTGAGGCCATTCAAAGGGTATTATCATCAAGAAGTAAAGATGAGTGAGGATTTGATTGGAAAAGTCAACGCCTTCGGAGAGCGCATAAGAATTGGTGGGGCTGAGGTTGGTAGAAAGATGAGTGCTAGCATGAGTTCTATGAGTTTCAAGGTCAAGGAGTTTTTTCAGGAACCAAACCATGCTGATAAACTTGTTGGGGATGCTACCTCTGAGGCCCTTGATGACCCTGACTGGGCTATCATTCTTCATATATGTGACTTGGTCAATACTGAAAAACTTAACACTGCTGAATTGGTGCGTGCAATAAAGAAAAGGGTCGTGACCAAGAGTCCTAGAGGTCAGTACCTGGCTTTGGTTTTGCTTGAAGCATTAGTCCAGAATTGTGACAAGGCTTTCTCCGAGGTGTCAGCTGAGAGAGTCCTTGATGAGATGGTCAAGCTCATTGATGACCCTCAGACTGTTCTTAATAACCGCAACAAGGCTTTGATTATGATTGAGGCATGGGGAGAATTAACCACTGAGCTTCGCTATTTGCCTGTTTATGCAGAGACTTACAAGGTACTTTTACAGCTTTCCATGCTTGTCAGCTAAATAAAAGAAACAGAATATGTCAATAATATTAATAAGTGAAGATTTGTTAGGACCATTTCAGCCAATAATTAAGATGCCAAAATACTTTGTAGATAAAGTTCTAGGAGCCTTAATAATTTGAATCATTTGGATAAATTACTTGTTAGTCAAAAAAATAGTTATTTTATAAAATTGCAAAAATAAAACCGCTTATAATTGTCCTTTTACTCCTACTCTCATAAAGTCATGGAGCCTTGTGCACCAGCCCTTATTTATCAGCAAATTCATGCGAATGGAAGTCCTGATCTTGTTAAGAATTATATTAGTGTGGTATTTTTGCTTTTGAACTTTCCTTGCCTTTCACTTTTTGCCATAAACCAATAAACTTAAGTTTTTAGGTGTGGCCAAGAATGAGAGCACCAAGTATCCAATTCTAAAGCATTTGATCATAAATGATATGATGCATTGTCATAAACCCAACTCTGTCATAAATTTAAACTGTTAGGTGAACTTGAAGGTTCAAGAATAGTTTTATATCTAAGACATTGCTTTGGTCCAGAGTTTGAAATCAAGGGGTATCCGGTTCCCTGCTCGTGACAATGAAAGCTTGGCTCCTTTTTTTACTCCTCCACTTTCTGCCTCTGCTCCAGAGGCTGATGTCAGTCTTGCCCAATTGATCCAGCATGATAGTCCTGTGCAAAGTTTTACGCCTGAGCAAGCAAAGGAAGCTTTTGATGTTGCAAGAAATAGTACTGAGCTTCTTTTTACTGTGTTATCTTCTTCATCGCCACAAGGTGTTTTAAAGGTATTTAATTTATTTTTTATTATGTTATACTGTTAGTTGGTGTGTTTTTTTGTCCTTATATAAATGCTCTCATTTGAGTTTGGCATTAAATTAATATATTTTGGATTAAAATCTTCTATTTATAGATAGAAATTCGTTTGTTTTTACAATGTCAATGACATAGCTACTGCATGTCAACTTTTGCTTTATATTCATCAGACCATGACCATGGTTTTGGCATAGGGTTGTGTTTTTTGTATATATGTACGAAGGAGAGGTTATATAACTTACGATGTTAAATCACCTTATATAATTTTCATGGTGTTATACCACCTATTCTGATGTAAAAGGAATGTAAAAGGAAAATAAGGAATTCTCCAAAGCAGAAAGAGCAAAACACTGCAGGTGAAAAAAAGTTAAAAATCAGCAAGGCTACCCTGTATCTATACAAGTCTAACATGGAAACTAAATGCACTAAATCCTATCCTAAAATATGAGACTAAGGCTTCAAAATTTGAATAGAGAGAGGGACTAAGGCTTCAAAAGTCATGCTGTCCTGAAATGATGCTGCATTGAAATAAAAATAAATAAAAGCCACTTCAAGTTCTCTATGTTGTGCTTGTTAGTTGTTATCTTTGAAAACGAGCTCATCCTTGGTAGCCAAAGAGATCACTTTATACGCCAACTTATGTCTGATATTTCCTTCCATATGCAGGATGATTTGGCCACCACATTAGTACAACAGTGCCTTCAGTCCCAAGCTACTGTCCAGAGAATTGTTGAGACAGCTGAGGATAATGAAGTACTGCTTTTTGAGGCCTTGAATGTTAATGATGAGATTCAGAAGGTTCTATCCAAATATAATGAGTTGAAGAAGCCTGCAGTTGTTCCACTTGAACCTGAACCTGCTATGATACCTGTTGCTATTGAGCCAGATGAGTCACCCCGTTTTACAAAAGAGGATGGATTGATTAGAAAACCAGCTGCTGGTTCAAGAGTTGGAGTCCATGGAGGGAACCACGATGACATGATTGATGATCTTGATGAGATGATTTTTGGCAAAAAGGGTGCTGATACATCCCATAGGGGACAAGATCCAAATAAACAACAATCATCAAAAAATGATCTCATCTCCTTCTAAAGTTGCCACTACAAACATACCTGAATATAAAAGACAATGCCTTTGATTTGATGGCTTGCTACTTTCATTTTTATGTGCTAATTATGAACTATGTTCAGATTCCTTGTTCCATTATTATTATTATTATTATTATTTTGAGGGGCAATAACTATTTACATGACAAAAAATAAAAACAATACTAAATAACTAGGGAATTGATTTTTTTTCTCTATGGAATATGGACTATAATTTTTAAAAGTAGCAGGAGTTGGGTTTGCAGGTGTTACAAATTGAGTTATTCTTCAAAGGAATGAAGGAAAGATCAATATATATTTTTTATTTATAAAAGAAATAAAGAGTTGTAATAAAACGTGTTTGTTTGTTTATAACTAATTTCGCTCATGACAGGCATTTTAGAAAGTAAAAATATAAAATTATAATCATTAATTAAAATATCAAGAGTTAAGATTATGATAAAATACCATGTATAATAAAATAAATGAATTAATACTTATATAAGATAATTTTATCTCCCCGTACACAATACATGGTGTTCATATTATCTTTTTCTCTCTTTTCTTCAACGGAGATAAGTTATTTTCGATGATGGGAGAAATACTTTTCCTAAGGGTGTAAATGGGCTAGGCCAACCAGGCCGGCCTACAGGACCTACGGCCTAACCTATATTAGGTCAGACTTGGCCTATTATAAATAGTAAAATAGAACAGACCTAGACTTTTAAGAAAAACTATTGAGAAAACAGGCCATAAGCTTTTTTTGTATATGTCGGGCCTATAAGCCTACATGCCGCCGGCCTATATCATATTATTTATTTTAAATAAAATAAATAAAATTATTATTTTAATAATTTTAAATAATAAAGTAATATTATTTTAATTATTCTTTTAATTGTTGAATGTTTAATAGGCTTAAACAGGCTAACAAGTCTAGACGAAGGTTTTTATTTTTTAAATATAAGTCAAGTCAGACTTTTATAATTTGGGACCTACACAGACTAACAAGTCAGGCCATACCCAATATTGTTTACACATGCCTAGCCTATTTAAGTTAAGGGAAAAGTTCACCAATGCCCCTATCCCCTGTTGTTTTTTTTCGATCACATATGCCTCTTTACTTTCTAAAAACTAAGAAACCACATGGGCATATGTGATAAAAAACATACCCTTTTACAAACCACATTGAGATATGTGATAAGAAAAAGACTATAACGACATAAGTGATTTTGAAGTAAACCACAAGGGCATTGGTGAACTTTTCCCTTAAGTTAAAGTCTAGTCTAGCCTATTTACATCCTAAACGTGAAATACATTAATCACTAAAATAAATTATGAAATTATTAAAGTTTAAGAAATTAGATAAAGCCAAAATTACTCTCCCAATGTAATGTGCTCTGTCTTCTTCCATAGCGATTGCATGAAAAAATGGCAGGAAAGCACATCCCAAGATCGAAATCGCGAATCCTCCTGATTGTTCTCTCCCTGTTAGGGTTCTCACTACTGTTGTTCCTCTTCTCTCTCCCTCCACTCCGCACTCCCTCTTCCATTCATTTCAACGTTCTCAATGCAGAGACTTCATTCGTGGCCTCACTGGAGCACTTCCTCACTCACACTCAAAAAACAATTCTCGACGACACAGTGAGAGATGCAGTTAGCGAAGAAGAGGTGAGGAAGCTCGACGATGCTGTCTATCGCTCCGAGATGGATCGGTTATATTCGGATCCTTTCTACCCGGTTGGTCTTCCCCTTAGGGTTTACGTCTACAACATGCCGTCAAAATTCACCTTCGATTTGCTTTGGCTCTTTCTTAATACCTACAAGGACACCTCTAATCTCACCTCTAATGGTAGCCCCGTTCATCGTCTCATCGAACAGGTTACCATATTTTTTTGTTTGTTTGTTAGTTAGTTATTCTCTATTGATTTTCGTTATCTGTGAATGAAATTTTTTGTTGTTTGCGAATGCAGCACTCTATTGATTATTGGCTCTGGGCAGATCTCATTGCTCCCGAATCGGAAAGGTTGTTGAAAAGTGTTGTTAGGGTTCATCGTCAGGAGGAGGCTGATTTGTTCTACATTCCCTTCTTCACCACCATAAGCTTCTTCCTCATGGAAAAACAACAATGCAAGGCCCTTTATAGGGTGTGAGTGCTCTTCTAACACTCCCAGTTATTTTCCTATCTTTAATTATTAACACCACTTGAGGCTTCGTTTTCTGTTTTTCGATCATTGCTCTAGTCTTATGGGTTCTAATCTACTCTTAGTTGTTGTCGGTGTAGGAAGCTTTGAAGTGGATCACCGATCAACCTGCATGGAAGCGCTCTGGCGGAAGAGATCACATACTCCCTGTGCATCATCCCTGGTCTTTTAAGTCTGTTCGGAGATACGTGAAGAAAGCAATATGGCTGTTGCCAGATATGGATTCCACTGGAAACTGGTTATTTTTCTAACTTGCATACAAGTTTGTGAATTCAATGCTATTAGTCATTGAAGATGGCATCTGAGTGCCCTTTTTCCATCTTTCAGGTACAAGCCAGGTCAGGTTTTTCTGGAGAAAGACCTTATTCTTCCTTATGTTCCCAATGTTGATTTATGTGATGCCAGATGTTTATCTGAAACGAATCAGAAGAGAAGCACACTGCTTTTCTTTCGCGGTCGGCTCAAAAGAAATGCGGTAAGCATATTGTGTGATTGCTGATTAATTGATTGCTGTCAGGTCAAAACCTTGAAAGCTCTATCTGCGTATGATGTCGCATGAAGTCCAGAAATATGTTTTTTTTATAATCTTTTTTGTTCAATCTCATGTTGCACTTGCAATTATTGTGGATAATATTTAGATATTTCCTTGAACTTTATCATAACCGACTATTGTGTGTTTATTTTTAGGTTGTCTGTTCTTATAGTTTCTGGGCTAGCAGTCTCTTATCATGTCTTGCCCTACTTGTATATGTGGCATTCTCTTAATTTCTTTGTCACCCGCATATTTTATATATTATGAGGTTTAGCTGCTTTCTTTATACACCTCCTATTTCAGGGAGGAAAGATACGCTCTAAACTTGGAGCTGAATTAAGTGGAGCTAATGGTGTGGTTATAGAGGAGGGAACAGCTGGAGAGGGGGGAAAAGAAGCAGCCCAAAGAGGCATGCGCAAGTAATATAAGCTCAGGACTTGAGTATATCTACCCTGGTTATTTACTTTGTAGTAATTATTTGCTTGCCTTCCACATTATTAGGTCTCTGTTTTGCTTAAGCCCAGCTGGTGACACTCCATCCTCTGCTAGATTATTTGATGCTATTGTCAGTGGATGCATTCCACTTATAATAAGTGATGAGCTGGAGCTTCCTTTCGAAGGAATACTTGATTACAGGAAGGTGTGTATGTATTTATATCACGTAATCGATTAAATTGCAATATTATTGAGAATATTCTGGTGAGGACATTTTGGGCAAGTTGCTATGTGATCATCTGTTAATCTATAAATCTGTTGTAGTGTATGTCTTCTAGAGTATATAATGGCCTAATATCTTCGGACATACTTACTATTTCAGGTAATTAATATTAACTAATTGAAGGTGTATGCATTTGGTTTCAACCAAATGCACCAAAGAATAGCATATACTGTTCACTGTCACAGAATTATGGCCTCCTTGTTATTACCAAAACCTCTAAAACAAACCAACAAAAACTGCTTTAAAGTAGCGACATACCCATGGTGCTCATCAAAAACCCCAAAAAGTTGCTCCGTAGACTAGTATCTTCCTTGCCATGCAGAAAAAAGTTGTCAGACTGTTTCCGAACTTGATTTTCATGTACATCTGGCTGCGTCGTCTATTCTTCTATCTAACTTTAATTTTGATTTTTCAGTGAGAAGTTGCTGAGTATTTAACTTGTTACTATACATGCAGATAGTGGTATTTGTTTCTTCTAGTGACGCCGTGAAGCCTGGTTGGCTTTTGAAATATTTAAAAGGCATTAGACCTGCTCGTATAAAAGAAATGCAACAAAATCTTGCCAAGGTTTGTGATCAGGGTCGTGTGAAATTTTATTTCACTTTTTTTTTCTATTTAGTGTTGTTATTTGATTCTTTTGTTGTCAATCTTGCAAGAACTTTCTCCATTGCCCAATGTCAGGCTGAAAAAATATTGTGCACTGGTTGAATGTTTGTAGCAATAATCTATGTTGCACCGACACTGACTCGGGACACGACATGACACCCCGACACGTTAATTCTAAAAAATGTTAGATTTCGACACGTTTGGACATGTTTTGATATTAAATAATATTTTTAATTTATGTATTGTATATTATATTTAATATTCAATAATTTAACAAAAAAATGAAGTTAAACTTATAATACCCATCAATTTTGCAAAGAAACATAAGATATTACAAATATTTATATTAAACTCGATAAAATGGTAATCGTAACCAACCAATCTAATAGTTAGAACTAAAAACATAACGCAACGCAACTCTTAAACTCCTTTTATGAGTCTATGCAACGCGTGTAGGAGTGTCGGACACAACACCTCAGGTTCTTTGAAGTATCGGTGCATCATAAACAATAATTAACTTAGATAATCATCATTTTCTGAAATTGATTTTTTTTTTTTTGGATTGTCTTGCTTGCCTGTTTGGTGTTTATTTATTTTTTTATTTTTTATTTTTTCAGTACTCAAGGCATTTCCTGTATTCCAGTCCGGCGCAACCATTGGGTCCTGAAGACTTGGTTTGGAAAATGGTTCGTTACTGTTTGTTTTGTTATTTAAGTTTCTGTTTCTAATATTCTTTTTAGACAGATTGTTCATACAATGAACTTGAGCTCAGGCTTGACCCTCAGTATACCCATTGAGTGTTTTCTTCCATTGTAGTTGTGTTTAGTGTTGGGAAATGAATGAATTATTATGCAATGCACTGTTGATATATCGATTGGTCCATGAGTTGTGTTAAGTTTTTTTCTAGAGGCCATATGATGAACTGAAAAGATCATTAGAAGAAAGGTGATGATCAGAATATAATAAGGTTTAATATTGATGACAAGCCTAACTTTAGCATTTCACTTTCACAAGCTTTGTTACTTTAGGAAATGTTTTGGCTTACTGGTATTTTGGAGAACTTTAGCTTTGCTTAAAATCTGGATCTGACACTTGCATTTTCTAGATGTTTTTAGGTAAGATTATGAATTTGAGTAAAATGCCAACGAGATGTGCGTTATAAGGTATAAAAGGCTGAAGTATCATACTGCTAGTAACTTGTGCTTAAGCCCATTTACTTACACATCACTTTTTAGAAAGAAGAAAGACAGGTTGGTTGTTAGCTATAGCAATTAATTGTTAACTAGTAACATGGGCTTAAGCATAGTGAGCTATTTACCTGCACATCTACTTATGCTTACATCTGTTTGTTAGCTAGCAATAAGTTGTTCTGGTTTTGGTTTACATGGATTTCTGGTCGTTTTGTCACAGATTGGATAGTATTTTCATAATAACTCCTTAGGTCATACTGATATTATTCCTTTCTGAAGAACTTGGTATTATATGTAGATTGAATTTGTGTTGGAACGCAGCAGAAACATCGGTGGGGGTACTGTGGAAATTTACTTCTAATTCTATCATATGGCTTTTGATTTCTATTTTTCTGACAATTTTTAACCATGTTGAGATGGTTTGGCAGGCATCTTAAATTGCTTTTTTTTTTTTTTAATAATAATAATGAATAATGGCAGGGACCTTCTCCTTTAACTACCATTTTCTCTATATCATGATGCTACAGATGGCTGGCAAGTTGGTAAACATCAAGCTTCATTCCCGAAGATCTCAACGTGTAGTGGAAGGATCTAGAAATCTGTGCACTTGCGATTGCAGGCCTGGCAACATCACTAATACTGGTTCAATACTCTCTTGAGTCATTTTGTTTTCTTTATAACTGTAATTTCTACGGTTTTGCTCTTTTTCTTTTTCTTGTAATTGTCTACTGCGAATTTTGTATTCTTTGGTGGGCTATTTTGTTGTATTATTTAGATAATACTTGACAGAAGAAAGAATTTATATGTTATCTTCTGTAGAATGATCAGCGTTGGATTAACAAACAAATATCATAATTGCCAATCATCGACCGAGTTCTTTGTAGCGGAAACCTTGCTGATGAGATAAAATGAAGGAAAACCTGATGTTACGGGGCAAAAGCCCAACGCTCACGTTATTTTTCATTTAGAGAATAGCAATAAAAGAAAATAAGTTTAATCATAAATAACTATTATTAATCGGAATTTTGGATTTTTTTAACGTGATTTTTGGATTTTTTTAACGTGATTGTGAGGTTAGTATATTTGAGACTTTCTAGCGGAGCTTGGTGAGAAAATGTTGCGAATGTATCAGTTTGCAAGCCCCCTCATGGCTTGAGAACGTTTTGCTTGCAGATTTCATCTAAGATTTCTAATGTTAGGCCCTAGTCTTTTGAACATAAAAGAAAAAGAAAAAAACATTTTTCGTCTATGTTTTTAGTTAAAGTTAATTGTCTTACAAGTCATGTGACTGTTTTAAGCATTGTTAATAAATCAGGATCGGCCTGACGGGTCAATATGGGAATCGATGAACAGGTCATATAATTAGTTCGAGTGAAGCAGCGGATCGGGCATGCATTGGACTCGGTTCTACCATGTCGATTTTGGTGAAATTCGGTTATCCGACTCGATTTATTTTAAAAAAATACCAATTTTTTTTTCAAAAGAAAAATCATAATTGACATATTTGAATGATCTGTTGCTTATTGATTTACATAGATTATGTACTCATAATACTAATATTATCTCAGTTATGTACTATATAGAGAATTTTGATTTGATTTATAGTTAGAGATGTCATTTACTGAACTTGAAACACTAGTATCACAAGCATTATATGTTTGTTTGATCCTTCATTGGACAACGTGTAATTTATATTTTTATATTAAAATATTTAGAATTTATATTATTTTTTTAGCTATTTGAGTATGTTTATAATTTTTTAATATAAATTATAAATTTACATATAATCATCAGGTCATGTGGTTGAACCAGTGACCCACTGGTTGACCCGGTACCTCGACCGGGTCAATGACCGGGTCAGTTTTAATAACATTGGTTTTGAGATTATTCAAGCTGAATTGATGGGAACAATGTTTTAAAACTCGATCCAGTTATTAACTCGGTCGAGTTATTGGGTCAGTGGTTCAATCGGGCTTAACTGAATTTCAAAATAATATATAATAAATATTAAATTATGAATATTATGTCCAACAAATAAAAGTGGTCCAGTGATAAGCCTTTTGATGCTCAAATAAAGGAACTCAAGTTCGAATAACGAAACTCATGTCATGACCGATTCAGTGGGTTGATACTGGTTCGACTACATAACCGATTCAATACTCAGCTCGAACTAGTGAGTGCAACAGATCACCAAAACTCGGGTCTAAAACACTGGATGGGAACGAGTAAGGTTTTGATTGAAAATAATAGCAATAACACCATCAAAATAGGCGACATTTCAGACCGCTATAGGAGATAGGATTTGAATGAGAAGAATAAAATAAAACACAGTCATAAAGGGTGTTCATCACAACCTTTCCGGAATCAATTTTTCTTTAATTCATATTCTCGGGAATCTATTATTCTAAGGGCGCGTTTGGTACGCGACTTTTCTCAGAAAGCACGGGAAAGCTGAGACGGAGAAATAGTTATACCACGTTTGGTATGCGAGATCCTGAAATTTTCCTGGGCTACACTTCATTCCGGGAAAATGGTCTTCTTTGTTAAATGTGGTTGAAGTTGCAATGGAAGATTTCCAATTAAAACATGGAATTGTTGGCTTCCCCGAGAAAAGGAAAATGAAGCGGGAATAGGAAGACCAAAATGACCCTATATTTTGTACAGTGTGTAGATATGATTTAGGTAAAGGTGAGGTTATTTTCGTAAAATAACCTCACATTTCCACTAAAATTTCATAACCAACCAAACACAAACTCAGTAAAATTAACTTCATTTTCCCGGTAAAATATGAGTCTACCAAACAGCCTTTTAGTAACATTCCAGTAAAATATATTCCCAGCTACATTCCAGTAATAATTTTTTCTCGGATAAATAAAAATTTATCCTCTACCAAACGCCCCCTAAAGGAATTCCATTTGTTGAAAAGTTTTGCCATGTGTCACTCCCTCCTTGCATCTCAGATTTCTATTCACACCATACCCACTTAAAAAATTTTCTTCTTTGGCAAATTCGAATTATTAAATATTTTAAACATTTTAAAATACGAAAGAAAAAGTTGAATTGAGTTTTGATTCAATTGAGTTGTGGTGGCAGACACCTCATTCAATTTCCAACTGTCCCAGTCCTCATTCAATGTCCCACTCAGCTGTTCAATGGAAAATTAAGTTAATCATTTATGGTGGCAGACAACTCATTCAATGTCCCACTGATTTGTTCATTGGAGTTACTCAGCTCTTTTAAATGCTTTCTACGTTACGCCCGACCGCTTCAAGAATCAACAACTATCCCCACATACTAACACGAGACTTTTCAATGTGCTTTTTCCTCACTCGCACACTTCTTGGGAAAACTTCCCAGGAGGTCACCCATCCCAGAATTGCTCCAAGTCAAGCACGCTTAACTATGAAGTTCTTCCGTTCCGGGCTACCGAAAAGAAGATGCATCTTGTTAGTATAGGTAGTACCTGTAACATTCCGAGCACTTAAGAGGGCGGGGAGTGATCGCCGGTGCAAAGAGGCACGGACAAGGAGCAGCTCTTGACAGGCTTCTAGTGGGGGGTTACATGTATGAATGAATCGAATCAACACCTGAAAGAGGGGATTCCAAAGACTGTGCAGGTATGAGACTGCACAGTTTGGGATAGCTTTTACGAATTAATTGGTACTACCTATACTAACAAGATGCATCTTGTTTTCGGTAGCCCAGAACGGAAGAATCCACAGTTAAGCGTGCTTGACTTGGAGCAATTCTGGGATGGGTGACCTCCTGGGAAGTTTTCCCGGGAAGTGTGCGAGTGAGGAAAAAACACACTGAAAAGTCTCGTGTTAGTATGTGGGGATAGTCATTGTACTAATTAATTCTTATAAGTTATCCCAAACTGTGCAGTCTCGCACCTGCACAGTTTTTGAAATTCCTCTCTTTCGAGTGTCGATTCGATTCGTTCATGCATGAAACCCTCCACTGGAAGTCTGTCAGGAGCCGCTCCTTGTCCATGCCTCTTTGCACCGGCGATCACTCCCCGCTCTCGTCAACGCTCGGGATGTTACATTCTACATTGGAATTGTTCACTCTTTTGAAATTTGAATTCTGAATTGATTTCAAATTTTGGATTTCAGTTTTAAATTTCAAATTGTAATGGTGGGAAATGATTTGCAAATAAAAAATTAAATAAATAATAATTTCTTTTAAAAATCGAAATAAAAAATAAAGGAAAATTAAGTTAATCATTTATGGTGGCAGACAACTCATTCAATGTCCCACTGATTTGTACATTGCAATTACTCAGCTCTTTTAAATGCTTTCTACGTTGGAATTGCTCACTTTTTTTAAATTCGAATTCTGAATTTGATTTCAAATTTTGGATTTCAGTTTTAAATTTCAAATTGTAATGGTGGAAAAGGATTTGGAAATAAAAAATTAAATAAATATTAATTTCTTTTAAAAATCGAAATAAATATCAATGGAAAATTAAGTTAATTATTTATGGTGGCAGACAACTCATTTAATGTCCCACTGATTTGTGCATTGAGATTACTCAGCTCTTTTAAATGCTTTCTACATTGGAATTGCTCACTCTTTTGAAATTCGAATTCTAAATTGATTTCAAATTTTGGATTTCAAATTGGAATGATGGGAAAGGATTTGGAAATAAAAAATTAAATAAATAATAATTTCTTTTAAAAATCAAAATAAAAATCAATGGAAAATTAAGTTAATAATTTCTTTTAATGTATGCCACAGTCAAGAAATTATTGGCGAAACTAGGTGTGGCACGTGTGTGACATGCACCAAGTTCGCTGAAGGTCCAAGCGAACTAGGTGCCACGTGGCACAATCTCGTTGCCCGATCAGAATTAATGTATCAATCACAATAAAACACATAAAATGAAGGAAAATGGCAATTTAATTAATGTGTCAATTAGTAATCACAATTAATGTATCAATGTACAAAATTGTAACAATGATATCACAAACAATTAATGTACCAATCGCCAATAACAAATAATGTATTAATCAAAATTAATTGTGATTGGTACATTAATTGTGATTCGTCATTGATACGTTAATTGTGATCAAAATTAATTGTAATTGGTAATTGATACATTAATTGTGATTGGTGATTGATACATTAATTGTGAATAAATTTGGCTAAAATGTTATCCATAAATCTAGTACATTTTAAAAAGTAAATGTCTCATCTAGTACGCCATAGTCAAGAAATTATTGACTACCAAGTTCGCTATCAGTGATAACGAACTTCAACATGTGGTAGTCTAGTGAATTTTACTATTCACGTGACATTTGGATAAAAAAAGTCAAGGAACAGTGACATTTTAATCACACTTCCGTATAACTTTTATGTATCCGTAAATTATTAGTTTAATTTGACTTTATGCAGCTGTGGATTATTCAGGAAATCCATTAGCTCCTATTTTATTTATTCATTTATATATTATAAATAGAGTATTATAAATATTTATTTCAAAATATTTTTTTTAAATTAATATATATGGGCAAACGAACGTAAAGTACCCGTCAAGACCGGCAAAAAAATTAAAATAATATTTTTTAATTAAATAATTATGAATTTATTGCAGTTTTGGGAAAAATTACGGATCTATTGCACACTGTGACGCCTCATTGAGGCGTCTCACCCTAAGGGGAAGACGTTCAAATGGGGCGTCTCTCATGAGGTGTTGACACGTGTCACTTTTTTTTTTTCAAAAAAAAAATTAATTTAATCATAAAATTTCTAGAGACCATAACTTTTGACTCGAGTATCCAAATCAGATAATTCTTTTTTTGATTCCACATAACTTTTCGA